AGACATATTCATAAAATGTCACTATTTCAAACAAACTGTCATCACAGTAATGATACATACTTAAAACCCCACTACATAACCACATATTAGTGGAATGTCACTTTTCATACAAAATGTAACCATAGTCTTCTTTATTTTGCACTATTTTGTTGTATAACAACATCACAAACTACAAATGATCTGCTAAATTCTCACTAAAGTGTCATTTATGTGTCAGACTTTCAATTGCCAATTCAATGTTGTGTTAATTTCTGTTCAATCTAAGACATATTCATAAAATGTCACTATTTCAAGCAAACTGTCATCACAGTAATGATACATACTTACAACCCCACTACATAACCACATATTAGTGGAATGTCACTTTTCATACAAAATGCCACCATATACTTCTTTATTTTGCACTATTTTGTTGTATAACAACATCACAAACTACAAATGATCTGCTAAATTCTCACTAAAATGTCATTTATGTGTCAGACTTTCAATTGCCATTTCAATGTTGTGTTAATTTCTGTTCAATCTAAGACATATTCATAAAATGTCACTATTTCAAACAAACTGTCATCACAGTAATGATACATACTTAAAACCCCACTACATAACCACATATTAGTGGAATGTCACTTTTCATACAAAATGTAACCATAGTCTTCATACACACTTAAAATGCCACCATATAAGAACATGATGCAATGAAATGTTTTTACATTCAAACGATTTAAACTTTCTAAACTCCTTTAACTGTCAAACTTTTGTCAATTTCAGACATTCCTCTACTCAACGAAATTAGTACTTACTATTTCGGAATTGATTCTGACGGAAACTTTGTTTGACAAATCCATAACTCTGTCCATCAACTCTGCTCAACGATTCTACTCTCCTCAAATTTGAGGGTCGTCTAAGACGAAAGTTTACTACCTCTGTGCTTTGAAGTTTTGAATCGAAGTGCACGTTTGATACTCGTAGAATGACTGGTCTCTTCAATCGCAGCTCTCAACCGTTCCGATACATGTTCATTTAATTTTGAATCTCTTTTTCGGCGGCCATGATCATAATGGATGCTTGGAAATCGGGAATAGCCGGGGGAAAGAAGTAACCGTCAAATCCGGGAAGAGTACGTGTGTTCGTTTAATGAGGTCATTTTTGGCAATTCAGCGCATATTTGGTCCTATGCGAGTCGGGGGAAAAGTGGATGTCCTATTTTTGAAATTTTGATAAGTAATAGTCCTATTTTGTAAAATTTCTCTTAAAATTTTAAGCATTGCAGAGTACTTTAATCTTTATCAATACGGAGTATGAAAACGTCACTTTAATTTAAACATAAATTGTATTTAGACTTCAAGTTTTTTTCTATTTTGGTTTTTTTCCCAGTTTTTTCTTTCATGTTTTTTAAATATTTTATATTGATTTCTCAATATTCCAACATGTATACTTATACTTCAAGCATATTCATACAATTGTGCTTACATACATACACATGCATACACACACATATATACGTAGTATATAAGTATATATGCGTACATAAATACACATACACCCACAATTTATTCTTTAATTACACACACAGGTCAGCAGCAATTTTTTTCTATTGTTGAAACTAAATAATTTAATTTTTAATGAAATAATTAGTACATAAATGGAAAGGATAAAATCAAGATAACATTATAGAGTTCTACTTACTTTGTTCTTAATCAAGGTGCTCTTGTGTTTATTTATTGCTTATTGCTTATTCTTATTTTACTTTGATCAAATCAGAAAATTCGGATCGTAAAAAATTCAGATAAGAAAAATTCAGATCAGAAAAATGTATATAAAAACTGAAATATATTTAAGGCTAAAGGGTCAAATTTAATAATATCCATCATCATGATGTAATTATTTAGTAAAAGGAAAAAAAGGAATTCAATGTAGTTAAGGACTGCAACAAAGAATATTAAAAAAATGCAAGAGTTTCTTTAGCACATAGAATTAAATGAGGTGGTGGGTACCACCTACCCATATAGTTATAAAGGACTACAACAAAGAACAATGTTTAAGAAAATACGGAAGAAGCTAAGGCGATAGCAGCTAGGAGCAAACAATCAAAGGAAGTAAAACTAAGGGTAAGAGGAAGTAAAACTAATGGTGTTATTTTGCTGGATAGTAGTATGCCTGAAAAAGATCAAATTGTGGTTATTTTGCTCCTAAAGTTATTGAAGTGTCCAATTAACTCCTTGACTCAAACTTTAGTGGTTAATATGCACCTTCTCCGGAGTTGATATCATGTTACTATAATACTATCTAAGGTATATACATTAATAATATCATATTTTTGTCATGCTTGTGTGGGCATGCTGTTACGTTCTTGATATAATATTACGATTGAGGTTGCAAGACACTATTTGCCTATTTGGTTTGGAAACTAGTAGCTAGCTACGATTTTCTCTTAGACCTCCCCAACTTGTTTCTTTTATACTCCTCTCCTATTTAATTTGTATGTTTTAACATAAAAAGTGGTGTTAACCTTAGGGGTATCATGTCACATCTCATGAGATCAAAAGTAATGGATATGTCTTGTTTCTAATCCCCACCCCACTCAAACATTGATATTGGTATACCTCTCGTGAGTAGGGGTGTGCACAAACTGGTTCAACAGGAAGAGTGGACCAGGCCGGAAAACCCGGAACTGACCTGATGACCCGGAATGATATCCAATCCAGTTTTTGGGTTTTCAATATTGTAAATACATTATTTAATAGTAATAATATAAAATAGTGGTAGAATAATAAAAATAATAGTAGTTGTAAAACAGTAATCTTTTTAATATGTAGTATATTGTCCTAATGTTTTATTCATATATATATTCTTATTTTATTGATAATAGAATTAACTACTCCGTCATATTTACTATTCTACACTCTTCTTCTTTTTTAACCCAGGATTTACTATTCTACACGCAAATTGTTACATTCTTTGCTCTCTAAGACTAATTAAAATAAATAAATAAATAATAATAGTAATAGTAATATTGTTAATAAAAAAATACCCCATTTTTTATTAGACAAATTAGTTGTATTTTTTAGTAAATTATATTAACAATTTAGAAACCGGTTTTTCCAGTCCGATTCCAAATTTGAACCGGTTAAACCGGTTCAGTTCCGAATGAAAACCGGAACATCCGTCCGGTTTTCGGTTTCTTTATAAGTCCGGTTCAATCTGGTCCGGTTTTGTACCGGTGCACACCCCTGCTCGCAAGTCATGATCAATCCGACCGACACCAAGCTTGTTTCGTCTGATTCCCGGTAATTTAGATGTTTTTTACATTAACTTACAATACATAATAAATTAGAAACATGTAAAAATATTAGTTATTCATATGTCTACATTATATATTAGAAATAATTACTTATTTATGACTAAAACAAAGATTGTTTACGAAAATATTACTAATGATTATAATAGTAATGTAAGTATAGTAACTTATATTAATTTTTAAACTTAATTTTCCATTACTCTACATTAAACTTATAAATAAGTTTCTATATATTATTACCAATTATACACTTACAATTACATAGTATTAGACTAAACCAAGGGTAAAATCTCCAGTTCCAACAAGTCTGCTTCCAATATTATATTGCAAGTCGTCTTCACTCTTAATAATAACCATATCAATATTCTCTTCAAATCATTTTGAGTGTCTCATTTTTGTTTGGTGGTATCAAATTAATTGTCGCCTTCTCATTTTCGAAAGAAAATCGGGTCTAAAAGACAATTTAATTAATACCAAGTGCAAATAATTGAATCCATGTCTTCAGTGAACTATCTCTATCTCTCTACGCCTAGGAGCATCCGGAGAAAGGACCTAGTCACCTAGATGCTCCCAAGTAGGGGTAGAGACAGAACATAGGGCCAAAATAGACCGATACAAGGTACATTTTTGTATAAAATTATACAAAATATTTACATTAAAAATAAAGGCATTTTTGAAATTTGAAGTGGACCAGATCTATGTTGACCCCTCTAGTTCCGCCCCTGCACCCAAGCTTTCACCAAGAACAAGGGTCATCCACCATGTAAGAGCAACTCACCCTGAGTCACTCCCTTGACCCTTGCCTGGTCGCCATGCTAAGCTATCATGTGCCAAAACATGGAAGCTTGTCACCCTCACTATTAGTAGTGGACCTAGGGATGGACCGGGGCCGGTCCGGTTCCGGTTCCGGGCCGAGCCCGAGCGGGCTTTTTTTGCAAATCCATGGGCCCGGAACCGGCCCGGGTTGATACCGGGTCCGGTTCAATGTCTATTTTTTTTTGCTTTCTTGTTATCCCCCGACCCCCGACCCCCACCCCCCAAACCTCCCCAAAACACCCAACCCTATCCTAGGAAAAGAAAAAAATTGAAAAAAAAAGACCCGAGCCCGACCCGAACCGCCCGGGCCGGTTCACCCAAAACTGGGCCCGAGCCCTGCCCGCCCAAACGGGCTACAAGCCCGGAACCGGCCAACCGGTCCCGGTCCGGTCCGGGCCCTCACATTAGCGGGCCGGTTCGGTTCCGGGCCGGTTCGACCCGGTCCAGTCCATCCCTAAGTGGACCTAAAATCAGGAATACATTATGACTTCACGCAAATCCGGGACCTTGAAAACTGGGGTAGTCCAATTCTGAATCCAATTAATTCTTGTACGGGTTTTGAGTTTAATTGTATTCTTCTATTTTAGTCTATTGGGAAAAGTTGAAGCAAAAAGGAACCAGAAGTCCAGAACTAGTTGGACCTTTTTCAGCCAAGAACAGAATTATACCCTAGCAGTCCTGGAACAATGGCAAATCCACCCATGGCGAGTCTACCAGCTACCGCTACCAAGTGGAACAACCCCGACGTAATGCCCTTATGCCCCTACCCGATGTAACAATTCACAAGTGCCATTTTACATCGGTCGCCTAGAGCCTAACCACTACAACCAATGCTTAGTATCTCATGGATGTAACACCAACATATTTCTAGTCAATTTTATTATAATTACAAATTACAGAAATATACATTGTGCACTGTTGAATTACATCATAAATTACAAAAATATACACGCAGGACACCAGGTAAATTCATAACCTATTGAGTTTGTCTGTACCTACATTCTACAACAATAAGACAAAACATAAACGAAAACGTTGGTAAGTTATTATGAATCAATCAATTCTAGACCATTCAAGTTCTTTTCCAAGAACAAAGCGACATCAATGAGCCTCCACCCTTCCGGTTTTCAACCAGGAACATAGTAATCCATTCTATCGACAGGCAGATTCAGGACCGAAGTCTCAACCTAAAACCAGAAAAGTTTGAGGTAGATATCAATAAAAAGGTAGCAAAGTTAAAATAATTAAGTTATACTACGAAGAAAATGTTCTTTCATAGAATAGCATATAAAAGTTCACATATTCTTCATTTCAATGAGGTGCAGGAAAGATTAAATGTTAAAAACTGTTAAGGCAGCAAACACAGATTGCAAAAGACACTGGTTTGGCCAAGGCTTCAGAGATGGTGCAACATGTCACTCCAACTCAACAGTTGAATTCCTCACATCCACAAATGTAAATATTTCATATTAGGTACTCGGCCGCGCACCAAGTCTGATATCAATAACCACATAATCTGACAGACGGACCACTCGAGGCAAACATGTTTCTAGACCTAACAACTGTACACAACTCGCATGGAAAAAAATGTTTGCTGCAACCATAGCCCTGAAACATAAACCCATGTTGGTTGGTAGAATTATGCAGACGAGAGTCCATGAAAGAGTACTATAACAAGCTTAGTTTAGCTCCTACTTATAATTATTGTAAAGAATCGTTAAGAAATTGATCAAGAAAGAGATCAAGAAGATTTTATTGATGTAGAAGAAGAGTACAGAATGTCGTATACAATGCCTAGGACTATTCGAGATGCCCAGTCTCCTAGCCTATCCAAGTCCCAAATACTTGCCTGCCTATTTGCCTACCTTCCCCCTTCTATTTATAGTACAAGCCCACTTATTATTATCTACAATAATAGGCCCATTTAATATCTATTCCTAACAATACTCCCCCCCTAAACAACCACCTTGTCCTCAAGGTGGGTGATAGGAAACAGCCATGATCTTCCATTTCCACTTCATTCTTGCACCTCTCCCCTCCCAGTATTTGACTGATGGCTGGACTAGGAACTTCAGTACCAAATCTTTTGATATCACAAACATTTCAGCAGCAGAAGAGATATCTAATGAAGTTCCGTACGCTTCAGCAAGTATTCCAATATTGACAATCTTCAGCAAGTTCTGCCAATGAGCTCCATTCGGGGCATCCTTTGCATAAAGGATATACAGGTTGACTGCATTCTTTTGCTCTTGTCTATGAGCTTTTTCTTCAGCCTCTTTTGAGTTATGGAATGGTTGAATAGAAAACTGCCCATCAACACGAACATAGCTTATTCTTTTCTCAGAAACAAACTGCTGCACTCCATCAAGAATCTTAGGATAGACTATGATTTCTACTCCTTCTTCACAGCTCCCTAGTGCAGTCTCACCATCATCTAACTGCTTTTCAGATTTCAGGTTACTGAGATATATTTCCCATTCATCATCTCTTGTCCTCAGAAGTAATATCATATAATGGCTATTCACCTCCATGAACTGTTGAATCTGTCTCTTATTTTCATCCTGTTTGACATTGCCATCAATGTTAAGTCCCAATTTCGTACTTCCTCTCCTATCCATGCCAGAATCATTTAGAGTAGGGACTTCATCAATAAGACTTTTGATATTTCCTGAATTCATAATCTCCTTACTTAATGTAGTCATATGAGCTTCCAATGCACCAGAATTATGCAAGAATTTATTCTTAACAGTGAGATGCCCATCTAACTTCCTCTTTTGTGCAACATGATAGCTTGAATTTGATTCAGAGTTCTGATCTAATCCACAATCAGACTCGGAAGTAAAACCTTGCAAGCCATTGTAGGACCGAACAACACAACCATGTTTTCCAATCTTAGGTATCCATCTTTGTTTGATTAGTTCCTCAGTAGCATTAGTGTATGCGCTGATGATTCCCTGAAGCTTCTTTCCAACATTTCCCTGTTCTATTTTCTCAGTTTCCTCGATGTGGACAATCCCTGTAGAGCTTTCCCAAGTGTTTGAACCAGCAAATTTATCAACTACCGATTCATAGTCTACGGAGATAGAGGATTGAGTCACCACCGCCGATTTCTCCTCTTTATTGACTAGAGACAGCTCTATCTCTCTTCTGGTTCGGCTTTGTCCTTGATTCTCGAATACCTCATCTTTGTTAGGTATCGTCTGAGAACTGAAAAGTTCGCTTCTCGAAGGCTTCGTACTTTGACCCAAACTGAGAGAGTCAGCTCGCGACAAAGCCGGGGAACTGGGGAAAGTTGCTTGTGACTTAGACAAAACTTGTGAATTGAACCCTCCTGTCAATCTTGTTTCACTTGAAGAAGAAGTTTGCGAGTGTGATTGCGAAGACTTCTGCGAACGTATGCGGAATTCCGATGGACTGTAAGAACAAACAGTATTTCTTGGCGAAGATTCTTGCGAACTGGAATGATGCGTGAGTGTCGAACTGTGCGATCTATGAGAAGTTGTACGCGAAGGGGCCGGTGAACTGCGGACATCTGTTCCCGGCTGAGAATGGCCCTGCGCAAGTGATGAGGTTTGTGAATTAAGCAAAACTGTTCGCGATCTTCTTCTTGCCTGTAAATGTTCTTCCATAGCAGCTAGCTTTCTCGCAAGGTTATCCATCTTTAACTTCACCTCTTGCTGATTCCGCTCCAGCGAATCCATGCGCTCCAACGATTCCAGTCGATGATCCATTTTGCCTCTCGTTCGAACGAAAAAAAAAATCTGGATTTCTGTACTTCTCTGATCAATTCTGTAACTACCAGGAGCGTAATGCTCTGATACCAATGTTAGAACACTGATAATCGATACTCAGAATGGTAAAGAATCATTAAGAAATTGATCAAGAAAGAGATCAAGAAGATTTTATTGATGTAGAAGAAGAGTACAGAATGTCGTATACAATGCCTAGGACTATTCGAGATGCCCAGTCTCCTAGCCTATCCAAGTCCCAAATACTTGCCTGCCTATTTGCCTACCTTCCCCCTTCTATTTATAGTACAAGCCCACTTATTATTATCTACAATAATAGGCCCATTTAATATCTATTCCTAACAATACTCCCCCCCTAAACAACCACCTTGTCCTCAAGGTGGGTGATAGGAAACAGCCATGATCTTCCATTTCCACTTCATTCTTGCACCTCTCCCCTCCCAGTATTTGACTGATGGCTGGACTAGGAACTTCAGTACCAAATCTTTTGATATCACAAACATTTCAGCAGCAGAAGAGATATCTAATGAAGTTCCGTACGCTTCAGCAAGTATTCCAATATTGACAATCTTCAGCAAGTTCTGCCAATGAGCTCCATTCGGGGCATCCTTTGCATAAAGGGTATACAGGTTGACTGCATTCTTTTGCTCTTGTCTATGAGCTTTTTCTTCAGCCTCTTTTGAGTTATGGAATGGTTGAATAGAAAACTGCCCATCAACACGAACATAGCTTATTCTTTTCTCAGAAACAAACTGCTGCACTCCATCAAGAATCTTAGGATAGACTATGATTTCTACTCCTTCTTCACAGCTCCCTAGTGCAGTCTCACCATCATCTAACTGCTTTTCAGATTTCAGGTTACTGAGATATATTCACCTCCATGAACTGTTGAATCTGTCTCTTATTTTCATCCTGTTTGACATTGCCATCAATGTTAAGTCCCAATTTCGTACTTCCTCTCCTATCCATGCCAGAATCATTTAGAGTAGGGACTTCATCAATAAGACTTTTGATATTTCCTGAATTCATAATCTCCTTACTTAATGTAGTCATATGAGCTTCCAATGCACCAGAATTATGCAAGAATTTATTCTTAACAGTGAGATGCCCATCTAACTTCCTCTTTTGTGCAACATGATAGCTTGAATTTGATTCAGAGTTCTGATCTAATCCACAATCAGACTCGGAAGTAAAACCTTGCAAGCCATTGTAGGACCGAACAACACAACCATGTTTTTCAATCTTAGGTATCCATCTTTGTTTGATTAGTTCCTCAGTAGCATTAGTGTATGCGCTGATGATTCCCTGAAGCTTCTTTCCAACATTTCCCTGTTCTATTTTCTCAGTTTCCTCGATGTGGACAATCCCTGTAGAGCTTTCCCAAGTGTTTGAACCAGCAAATTTATCAACTACCGATTTATCAAGAAAGAGATCAAGAAGATTTTATTGATGTAGAAGAAGAGTACAGAATGTCGTATACAATGCCTAGGACTATTCGAGATGCCCGGTCTCCTAGCCTATCCAAGTCCCAAATACTTGCCTGCCTATTTGCCTACCTTCCCCCTTCTATTTATAGTACAAGCCCACTTATTATTATCTACAATAATAGGCCCATTTAATATCTATTCCTAACACTTCCTCCTGAATAAGAAGTCCTTTGACCAAAGTATACCTTTTAAATTTTGGTAAGGTGCAATTATAATACTCATCAATCACTCATGTATTTTCATTTTATTTGTTAGTGTTAGGAATAGTATATAGAAGCTACACGTACATTGCTTTGTAATTAATATTAGTTGGGTTTCTGTTATATTAGCTGCAGTTAGTTACAACTATAGCTTCTATAAATACTCTGTACACTTTCTATTTTTCAATAAGATGATTTCACTCCTTTCTTCTACCTTGCTCTATTTCTAATATGGTATCAGAGCTCTGCTCGATCTACCATGGCGAACTCCGAGTCAAATTCTTCTTCTTCGTCGCAATCAGCTTCTCAGATTGCCAATCAAACCTCGCCTATCATCTTTCATCATCCTCTACCTGTTAAACTCGATTCAAACAATTTCCTGTTCTGGCGACACCATGTCGAATCAGTAATTCGAGCTCATAAGCTTCTCAGATTCATAGAAAATCCTCAAATACCAGATCGTTTTGCTGTTGATGAAAATGGAACAAAAACAGTTAACGAAGCGTACAACACATGGGAGCAACAAGACAAGATGTTGTTTTCCTGGCTCTTAGCTTCGCTTTCTGAGTCACTTCATGCTCGCGTCATCTGCTGCAAGCACTCGCATGAGTTATGGAGTGAAATTCAGCAATTCTTCCGCTCCAGCATCATCGCGCGAGCTCGTCAGGTGAAATCGGAACTGTATAACACCGGAAAAGGTGATCGCTCTATTTCCGAATATCTGCTTCGTATTCAGACCATTGTGGATAACCTAACATCTGTTGGAGAGCCTATATCCACCAAGGATCACATCAATGTGATCCTTGAAGGTCTTCCTGAGGATTATGAATCATTAATATCTTCTGTCACCTCGCGAAGTATTTTAGATCCAGTTACTTTGTCTGAACTTGAAGGCCTACTGTTGGCTAAAGAATTACGACTGAGAAAACTACGTGACTCCTCACAGCAAACAATATTTTCTGCTAATGTTGCGCGAGTTGAAACTACCTCTCCTACTACTGAAACTGAAACTCAGAATACTTCAGAGAATGCCTCAGCTCAAATTGCTCAGTTTGACACTTCTGCAGACAATTCATCCTATAGAGGAAGAGGTCGTGGAGGTTTCAATAGAGGCAGAGGTGGTCGTTCAGGTGGTAGAAGCTCTGTAACTTGTCAAGTTTGTGGTAAAAATGGTCACAGTGCCATTGTGTGCTATCACAGATACAATCCAGCCTATACAATTTCCAGTTCTAATCCTTCTACTATGCATCAATCTCCTTTTCCTTACTCAAATCAGCCTTACCAACCTCAACAGTCTCCTTTTCAATACTCAAACCAGCCTTACCAACCTCAACAGCCTCCTTTTCCTACACCACATTCATATCCAAATCAATACCAATATCAATCATCTCCTTCAAACACAACAAGATATTCACCCAATCCAACCCATCCATCACAGTTTATGCATCAAACACAACCTTATACTCCATCACCTAATCATCCTTCACAGTTCAGTTCATCATCAAATGTGCCAACTGCAGCCTGGGCTTCTGCAAATTCATCTATACTTGGACCAGCTCCCAATACACAAAACTGGTTCCCAGACTCTGGAGCAACACATCATGTCACAGCTGATCCCCTAAACTTTCAACACAGTGAGCCTATTGCTAAGCTGATCCCCTAAACTTTCAACACAGTGAGCCTATTGCTACTACTGATAAGCTTTTTATGGGCAATGGTCAAGGTTTGGAAATTAAGTCTATTGGCTTTTCATCCTTTCCCTCTCCTTATCATTCATCTCTTTCTTTATCTCTAAATAACATCTTACATGTTCCTGCCATCACTAAAAATCTGTTAAGTGTCAGCCAATTTGCCAAGGATAACCATGCATTTTTTGAATTTCATCCTCATGAGTGCTTTGTCAAATCCCAGGTTTCTAAACAAATTCTGCTATATGGAATCCTTGGTGAAGATGGTCTTTACAAGTTCCAGTCATTTCCAGCTCTTGGGTCTCACCAGTCACCTGCAAAAGTGTCCAAGTCTTATTCACCTATTTCTGTGTGTCCTAGCTCTCTTATGTCTACTTGTAATAACTCTCAGTCAAACATCAATTGTAATATTTGGCATTTAAGACTAGGCCATCCTCATTTTGAGGCTCTTAAGTCTGTACTCAATCTTTGTAATCTGTCTCATTTAAATAAAAATGCTATGGACTTTTGTTCTGCTTGTTGCCTTGGTAAAGCTCACAGATTACCATCCCATCCTTCTACAACTGTATTTCATTCTCCTTTTGAATTGATTTACACTGACTTGTGGGGACCAGCTCCTATTCAATCCTTTGATGGTTATTGTTACTATATATCCTTTATTGATGCCTTCACTAAGTATACTTGGATATATTTTCTCAAAAAGAAATCTGATGCCTTCTTAGCTTTTCAAAACTTCTATCAATATATCTTCAATCAATTCCACATTTCTATCAAATCTATACAATCTGATTGGGGAGGAGAATTCAGGTCATTCACTAAGTTTCTGACTGATAAGGGTATCAATCATAGAGTTATATGTCCTCATACACATCATCAAAATGGTGTAGTAGAGAGGAAACATCGCACCATTGTTGAAAAAGGTCTATGTCTTTTAGCTCATTCCTCTCTACCATTCAAATTCTGGGACACTGCATTTGTCACTGCAGTACATCTTATCAACAAACTTCCATCTAAATCTATTGCCAATCTAAGCCCTCACTTCAAACTTTATGGCACCCCTCCTGATTACAATTTCCTCAAAGTCTTTGGTTGCTCTTGCTATCCATTCATTAGACCTTACAACAAACATAAAATGGATTATCACTCTAAGGAATGTGTTTTTCTGGGATACTCATCTCATCATAAAGGCTACAAATGTCTTTCTCCCTGTGGCAGAATTTATATTTCCAGGGATGTCATCTTTAATGAAACTAGATTTCCATATCCCACTCTTTTTCCCTCAACATCCACTTCATCCACTAGTGTTCCAGTTTCCCTCTCAGCTCCAATAAAAATTCTTCCTACTTCCTTATCATCACAGCCTCAATCTGACAATGATGTCAATACTTCTTCCAGTTCCTCTTCTTTACACACTTCTTCATCCACTACACCTCAGGATAATACTGCCTCACATAATCATCATCAATCTTCCAATAACTCAACTTCTTCTAACCACCAAAATAACACATCTGACAATTCTCACTCTCCATCATCCTCTGATTCCTCCTCTTCCACATCCCCAAGTCCTCTCCATAACTCTCATCCCATGCAAACCAGGTCAAAATCTGGGATTGTCAAGCCTAGACTTAATCCAACTTTACTGTTGGCCCATATAGAGCCCAAATCAGTTAAGCAAGCTCTTTCTTCTCCACCCTGGCTTGCAGCCATGCAATCTGAATACAATGCCTTGATATCTAACAAAACTTGGTCTCTCGTCACTCTTCCTCCAGGCAAACAGGTCATTGGCTGCAAATGGGTATTCAGAGTAAAGGAAAATCCTGATGGTTCTGTGAATAAGTTCAAAGCCAGGCTGGTGGCAAAAGGGTTTCATCAGAGGTTTGGATTTGACTTTGGAGAAACATTTTCTCCAGTAGTCAAACCTGTCACAATCAGAATATTGCTTACACTTGCTGTCTCTCACCAATGGTCTATACAGCAACTTGATATAAATAATGCCTTTCTCAATGGGGATCTTGAGGAAGAGGTCTACATGTCACAACCTCCTGGTTTTCAGGCCAAAGATACCTCCCTTGTCTGTAGACTACATAAATCTTTATATGGCCTCAAACAAGCTCCAAGGGCTTGGTTTCACAAGCTCACTTCAGTCTTATACAATGCTGGTTTCAAACAGAGCAAGAGTGATCCTTCTCTTCTTATATACCTCAAACCTGGGATCCAAATTTACATCCTCATCTATGTTGATGACATTCTTGTCATTGGCAACAATTCCACAGTTATCCAACAAATCATTCAAACCCTTCACTGTTCCTTTTCTCTAAAACACCTGGGAGATATTGATTTCTTTTTAGGAATCCAAGTTAAAAAGCTTCCTAATGGTTGTCTGCACCTCTCACAAGCCAAATACATCAGAGATCTTCTTCACAAAGTTGGAATGACAGATTCTAAGGGTGTGAAAACACCTATGGTGAGTACCTGTAAGCTCACCAATGAAGGAAGTGACCCTTTTCCTGATCCCTCTCATTACAGATCTGTTGTTGGAATTCTGCAGTATGCTACTCTAACCAGACCTGAACTTAGCTATGCTGTAAATAAGGTGTGTCAGTTCATGAGTAATCCTTTACAAGACCACTGGAAAGCTGTGAAACATATACTGAGATATCTATCTGGCACTATTACTCATGGACTGATTATCAAACCTCTTCCCTTGACAAAAATACCTCTACCAATCTCAGCTTTCTGTGATGCTGACTGGGCATCAGATCATACAGACGGAAAATCTACATCTGGGTCATGCATTTTCCTAGGCTCTAATATTATCTCCTGGTGGTCTAGGAAACAACTGAGGGTAGCAAGATCTTCAGCTGAAGCTGAATACAGAAGCCTAGCAGACACTACATCAGAACTTTTATGGGTTCAATTTTTACTCAAAGAACTTCAAGCCCCTTTTAAAACTCCAAGAATTTACTGTGACAATCTCAGCACTGTACAGCTAGCTCACAATCCTGTCCTACATTCTCGCATAAAACATATGGAAATTGATCTCTTATTTGTCAGAGAGAAAGTTCATCTCAAACAGCTTGAAGTTTTTCACATTCCAGCCTCCCAACAAATTGCAGATGTGTTGACTAAGCCTCTATCTGCTTCCACCTTTCTTGAGTTCAAAGACAAACTGAGTGTGATTGATTTTCCAGTTCAATCACCCTCAATTTGAGGGGGGAATGTTAGGAATAGTATATAGAAGCTACACGTACATTGCTTTGTAATTAATATTAGTTGGGCTTCTGTTATATTAGCTGCAGTTAGTTACAACTATAGCTTCTATAAATACTCTGTACACTTTCTATTTTTCAATAAGATGATTTCACTCCTTTCTTCTACCTTGCTCTATTTCTAATAGTTAGGTTACGTAAATTTAATAAACATGCTGAGGTCTCACTCCCAAGAAGTTATGAAAAAATAGCTTCTTTTGTTGAAACAAGACCCCTCCTCTTATGGAACAAAAAAATTGAACCAAGCTTTTTCCGGGATGGAGGGAACAATATCCTTCTTATAGTCAGCAGATATTCTTCAGGTTTCCAATTTTTAATGATTTTTATGAGTGCAAAAAAATAAATCATAAAGGTTAAATTTCTATGCCGCAAAGCCAGGGATTAAGGGTTTCCTATGCATAGACTTGATAACACCATGGGCTAATTCTAGAAATCATTGGAACAAAATTCAGAGAATATAAAATTAATATTGGATGAAGCTTAACCTCCTCAAATGGGACAAAGACAAAAGGTGTAAGACCCCTTTTGTGTGAAAGAGCTGGTACACTGGGGTCATGTGTCTCATCCTCTTGCCATCCCTCAACAACTCCAAGAATATCTTCACCGGTGAGGTTAACCTCATGCTCAGTCACACCACCAGTTAAAAGTGCCATTAGATCCATCCGGTTATTGGCACCCTCTACGGTTCCCCTTAACCTAAAGAGGAACAAAGATCAAATAGAGTCGTAACTCGATAAATCATAATTGAACAACAAAAATAGAAAAAATGAATAATGCAGTGCCCTAAGTCTTGAGATGATGGTACATATATTCATGTATCGAACTGATAACTTTGGCAGTTGGCACAAAACTATATAAGTACAGATGTGTATCTTTTTAATTCATGAAACCAGCTATGTTTATTTTCGATAACTCTTCCCCAGTGACTCTCCGGTGGATTTTTCAGGTATACACTGACGGCAGGCACCAGTTGGCGGCAGAAGTGACAGCTGGGAGTTGATGCGGGAGAGAGAAAAAAATCATCATCATCATTCATCATTACCTCAGTGCCGCAAAGGCTCCCACCTACGGTGGGGTAAGAGGGGTCGGATGTACGCAGTCTTGCCCTTGCCCCTATACTAAAGAACTTGGAGATTGTTTCCAAATGATCCATAGTAAAAATCACGTTGAAAAATTCATGGATTGACTGCTACTTCATATCAAAGAAGCGCAGACAGTTTAGTGAGCCATTTTGCTTTATTCTATCATATTCCCAAGCCAAAAAATACTGAATTTTTGGCTCCATTGCAAATGATGGAAATGGGAGAGAGAACAAAATATGGGGGAAAATTACAGTTTAAGATAACTTAGTCCAATTATTGTCAACTTCTGGAAATATTAAAAGTGGTCCAACTTTTTCCATTGAAAAGCTGGAGGTTATATTTTAGTCATTCTTTCAAAAAGCAAACTAAACCGAAGAAGCTGGCTCCAGAGTAGACCTATAACAATTCTTTGAATGTTAAAAACGTGAGCTATAACAATTGTTTGAATGTCAGCCTTCGTCATTGTTGTTGGAGGTTAGCGAGTTGAGAAGTCCTTATTGGTTGCTTTTAGTTCGGTCTCACTCTGTTGTAGCCATGGTGACAATTCTAGAGTTGCTATCTTTATGACTTTATCCAGTTAATAATGAAAACAATTCATTACCCCAAAACAAATAGTTTGCCAAAACTAAAAAATAAACCTTGACCAAAGGGGACTGTTTTTTGGGACGATAGAGTAATAAAATTAGTCTTTGATTCATGCAAGGCCGACCGTTCACTTCTTCACCATAAGTCATGGGACATAGGTAGTGAATCTTTGTGATCTATAGAGTTAAGATAATTAAATATAAGCCTAATTCCCTTTCAAAATGTTGGGCACATGAATACAATACATTTTCCTCTTATATTCTACACATAAAAGAACTTGATATGAGTCTGATCCGGAGTATATCACTTGATAGGTTCTTATCATCAGTGCAATTACAATACCTCAAATGAATTCTCAGTACAGTCGGACGCAATCCAGGATACAAAAGAGCAGCTTCAACCTGCAGATGAGAAGTTAGTAGTCACAAGTCACAATATAGCTTCAAGAAGGATAACCAACTAATTGTATGAAAGTACCAAATTAAATGGTTATGCAGATATGGCTCCTTGGCCAGATAATGCAATGAAGAATACAAAGACTTGATTGATAGGTGCAAAGATAACTTTTTTATTTTAATTTTTATTTTCACAAGGACCAGGAATAGTTAAAATAACCTTATCCTTTGAGAGAGTGTAGTTCCCACTAAAAACACTAAAATCAGCCCTTGAAGCACGGAAGTTCATTTGCTTTGCTACATCCTTCACCTTTTGCGACGAATTCTATGAATAAAATAATTAATAAGAATATTTGAATTACATGAAAGTTGAAACAAATAGATGCTCATAAAAAAATAGTATAAAGTAAATCTAAAGTAGTCAAATACCTTATAAAGAAATCTACCGGAATGATAAAATCTCAAATACCGGTAGTAGCATACCTGCAATAAAGTTTGCGAGGAAAGATGAAATGTTTCCACAGAAGGAAAGGCAAATCAAGCAAAGACTAAAAAGAAATTCCAATTGTCTGATTTCACTTAATGTTTTACGCAGTAACTTAAAATTTTCGAATGGCTAAACAGTCTATTAATCTATTATAGATTAAATTACTGATACACAAGATTCCCATCTAAATGAAAAATGCTAACTTTTCGTGGGTACATAAAATGTCAGGATGAAACGAAAGGTGCAAGAAGAAGCCAAGTGCCGACCATGTGATAAGCTGCTGTTATTTACACATGAAAAATAAAGGATGCTTAAAAGGGGATATGAGTATAGAGTCTCCACAAGAGCATTCTGCCACTACTTCAGGCAAAAAAGGTTAGGTGAAGGGTAGTGGTGAAACAAGACGAAGCTCGAACTTGGTGATGCTCAAGCTCGATTAAAATGCATTGGTTGGGGCTTGTTTCGAGTTCAACTCATTTTTTATAGGTCCGAGCTCGAATAAGATGCTTGAACTTGAGTTTGAATTCAACTTCAAGCTGAAAATAAATTTCCTGTTTTTAGAATTATTAAATATTTTCTTGGTTAAGTGCCAGTCTGCCAGTGTCATGTTCAAGGAAAAGCTAGGTTGGTTTATGTATTTTTTTAAATTTGATTGACCTAATTTCACTCCCTCTGTCACTCATATGTATATAATGGTGTTCAGTACTAGAGTCTATCAAATCATAAAGCTTACGGGACAAGACTGTTAATTTTCTTGGTGTAAGACTAATAGCCAAATCCAACTTATGCTTATGTAGAACATATTTGTTATCTAAATTGTCAAAAGTGCTGCTTATAACAGTTTTCACAGGTAAGAAATAAAGTCCGCAATAACATAAGAATACTGAATAATATCCTGCACTTAGACTACATCTAGAAACTCGACTATTAAAAGGGGAGTCGCATACAATGTGAACCGGATTTGTAATCTTCCACTCAGCAACTCCAGCACGAATGTATGTATTCCGACTCACATAGAGGCCTGTGGTTAAGGCATGAATATGCACATGATTAAAAGTAGAAAATAGCTAAAAGAGATTTGTGTGTGTGATTGCAATAGACCAGTGATGTTAATAGCGGCGCTATGGACTAACATGAGCAATAGTTATTATTATCATGTAGGTGAAGCTCGCAATTTCGCAAGAGATCCTGAACCTAAGATGGGAAGGAAACTATAAAGCAAATAAGACTCAAGCTCTTGAATGTCTAGTTCAAATCCTGATGATGTCTAGGTTTAGCCAGCTGCGGCTAATTTGAAATAAAAATTCAAGTCCAAGTAGATTTTTAAAAAGACTTTTTTATTCCTTGAAGCATTTTGCACTTGCGAGGCATAAAATGAGTTCAAACTTTATACAGACTTCCTTTACAGTTCAAAACTACTAGCAATCTTAAACATGTTATCAATCATACATAAAATGAGTAACAATTATGTCATGCACCACTATCATTAGGTTAACTCTTAAAGGAAAGCTTTTAAGATTTGCCGTCCTTACTAAAATCGAAAAAATATGTTATTAAAACAAGATAAATGGAGAATTAATAGCTGGTCCATGGAGTCATGGAGACTTTGATATTGTGGCGCAATTTAAATAAAAAGAAAAGATTAAAGAAATTATGTTACTCTGTTGTCATTGTTCAAATAAATAAATAAAAGCTTGAGTTGTGTGAGAAAAAAGAGAACAATAATGATTACTTTGTATTTGGCAAATACACCTCTGTTCTTTATTAATTGCAACATGTTGAATTTTGCACTACTCACTAGTACTCGGTACTCGCATACTCTACTTCGATTAGATTTTATTGGTTAATGGATTAACAAAATAAATTATAAACTATTTTAAATTCGTCTCAATGTAAACTCTCAAAATATGTACTCCCTCCTTCCCAAAAAGGTTCGCCAAATTGACTTTAAATGGTCAATGGCAAAGTACTTTGATCAAAGATATTTTTTAATATGAAATTGTTTTGAATATGAAAATTATATCAAAATATTCCTAATTCAAAATGTTTTCATAAAAGTATAAAATTTATACATTATATACAAATATAATAATTAAAATCATTGTCCAAAGTTTGCCATCATTGACCAAGAAAAGCCAATATGACAAACCTTTTCAGGACGGGCGTAATATTTTTATATTTTTTAACAAGTAGTCATTCAAATGTATTAGTGGTCAAAGCCTTGGGAGCGGCATCTTGTCACCTATACACCCTTGTGGTGGGAGTCGTGGGACCTTTCCCCATACCCTCGCCTTGCGGGGATGCTAATGTGCACCAGACTGCCCTTTTTGATAGTCAAAGTTTGTGTATTGGCAAGCTTGAAAGCTAAAGTGTTGCAATAGAAAAAGAACGCAGCCTTATTAAATTATAGCCTGATAGTGAAAAACATCCTGCCTCAAAAAACGCATTGAAGCGCGCCTGAAGGCGTACGCCTCAATAGTGAGAGTGAGTCTCTTAACTTGCAATATGGGCCCAAGCCTCGGCACCTAGTTTGAACTTTGAACACCTCAGTGTGAGGTGAGCCTCAAAACGCACCTCTCAAATGCTTTTTACAACCATGATGCAAGAGAAAGAAAAAAATGAAACGAAAGCCCTAAAATCCATAGGTTGTCTTCTTCCTCCTCCTTCACCCAACAACTTTGACTGGATCAGTTTACAGCTTCAATTCAATTTTTTGGTTCTCGTTTATATTCTTTTTGGATTAATACACTCAATTTAGCTTTGCAGCCAACACATGAAACTAAAACTGGAGGCCAAAAGACATTTTTGTAACCACTTTCCAAGAATGAGCATACTTCTGAAATTTCGTCATGTAATGAAAAATGAGTCACGGCTTGTGATTATTTTGGTAATTAATCCTTTTGTAGAAGATGAGGAATGGGGCCACCTGTCTCGCACTGTGTAAGAGCATATTGTACACACACACATATAGATAGATAGATTATTTTCTATACATTCATAGAGATTAATATAAACAAAAAGGTGCAATTCCTACCATCTGTACGAAGCCGTGGTCTCAAAAGCCACATTTTCCTCCATGAGCCGTAGTACTTTAGCTGGAGAATTGAATAGTTTTCGGCCACTCCAGTGATCTTCAAATAAAAAGTATTTAGTAAAGAACCATGATGCATTGATGTGTTGCAGACTTGCAGCAATAGTTACACAAGTACTATACACTACCTGCCATGCCTTCAAGCAAGCAATGCGCCAAAAGGTGGGATTACGAATTGTGTACCACCACTTCCGACAAACACAAGCAGCCTTACCCAAGGTATAAGGGTTCATTCTTGAAAAGATCTGCATCAAATATTGATTGCAGTTTCACATCAAGATGCCAATCATAACAAGGAGAAGCAATCCGTATAGGTGTAATTTCCTAGCTAAGGTCATAGACCTGAACCTCTTCGTATCCTAGAGTACCAATAAAATTGCAATTCTAGAATCTTTAAGAGTTTAATACAGCTTGAGATATTGTCTCTGAAAAAACAGGAGCATAAAAAACTATATGAGGGAGCTTATGCAAAGGGAAATAACACACTATAAAGCACTTTAGCATGTAAGAGATACGAAGCTATACAATTAATTAATTAATAGCAGTAAAATGGACTGAAGAATAGCGGCAGCCAAGAATTACATATGTACTCTATGAACTCATGTGTGCCGTGTATGGAGTCTCGACAAGATGTTCATTCTTCCCTGTCGACGCCCCATCTTAATGTGAAGTCATAAAATAAGATAACATATAGAGAATGGCTTTAGGGAGAGGTAGAAAGCAGTATTTTAATTTTAAAGTCTTATGTGGCATTATCACTCTGCTACAAAACCTTGTGCCACAAGACTATCAATTGGAAACAAAGGAAATCAAGATGCGCAAGGAAACTAGTCGGAACGCACAACATGAGGGATCACTTATTCTATTTTCGCTATGTAATCAATAATAAATATTCTTGCCTTTGTCACATTTAACTCCTTACGTGGGAAGTAGAGTATGAGATAAGGGTATCAATTGTTATGTCTTAGAATTGCAGCATGGGTCGTGGGCGGGAGATTTATTCTTGCTGATGGGTTACCTAAGGGTGCCCATGGCTACCCTTCCTATTTTCTGCAATTTCAATATTCTTCATCTCTATCAACTGGTCCAACCTCCAGGCTCCAGTATGACACATATGGCTAGAATGTAAGCGATAGAGAAGAGCAGGCACCACTAGGAATCCAAATTAACAGGCACCGATACCAGATTTCGCAAGCTGGAATCCCTCATCTCTAGACTCAGCAAACTGCTATAATATATATAGAATACTAAAACCACCTCCAGCGACAGCCCAGGTAGACATTCAAGCTAACCCCAAACAACTTTTAAGGGTGTGCATTGAAGATCTCCCCCAAGGCCGAGATCGAACTAACGGAAGAGATGACTCACCCTTATGGAGTTCCAGATCTATGTTCTTCAAGGGAGAGAAGAACGAAACAAACAAGGCTTTATAAGAATTAATTGTGTGTCCACCTAATCAGGACACGCACAAGTAGTTCTCCAAAGAGTAGGTTTTAAAATCAACTAGGACCCTTATATAGCTATTACAAGAGTCCGAATGTGAAAAGGAAAGCATAAAGTTGCAATACTAATATAAATAATTAAAAACATACTAATCTACAATTAAGAGTAACAATAATACGAAAGAAAACAATTTCAGCAAGACAATCGGATGGGCTCAATCCTTCAGAGTTCAGACACTGGAAAAATTCCTATTATTAATATTAAAAGGCAAGCATCTTATTCCAAAGAAAGACGTGAGATGCCACCATCACTTTCTTCCTCACAATTACCGCCCGCCCATTTTCTTTCAATTAACGACCAATACGCACTATTATCGCCCACCTTCTTTACCCAACTTCTTTTCTATTTTCCTTTTCTTTATTTTCAAAGAAACCAACCCCTTATGCAGCTGATATGCTTCAGACTTTTGATGCTATCTGACCAAAAAGGAGCTCAAGTTCACTACCTGAGTTACACAAATGTCTCATTGCAAATTAGAAGAAATTGATTTGAATAAACATTGTTGAAATTCTCATATAGTGCTCTAGTGCTTATAAGAAATTCTACTTGAGTCGGCTATTTCCATTAATCTTGAATTCTCATACCCAATAAACATTGTTCAGTATATTTTTTCACTGTTAATCACCAGTTGGACAAGTATTGACTATTGAATAAATCAGTATATACTTCCTCTTTTTTCTGTTTTAATTCCTTGCATGATGATGGGCTAGTCTGTTGACCCTCTTCATAGTTAATTTTGATATGTGGATATTTTCGTTGTCTATATCGCTCATTTTTGTTCTTTATATTAGACACCTTCTCGAAGGAGAATTCTATCATGATCTGTTGAACACTACAACGTGCTTAAAAAGTACAAGTAAACGCTACAAAGATCTGTAAATGAACTAATTAGCATACACAGATAGATATTCAAGAGAACTAAATTACTCCCCGTCCCTAAAAATAATATCTGATTAAGATACAATGTTAACTTTGGCAAGTCACAACTCTTAAAACTAATGAAATCTTATATTACTACTAGAAAATGCCAATAATAGTTTCATGGATTTAACTTGTTTGTAACTCAGTTTTGAAAAATCACATGAAAATAGATTCATTTCATCAAACACGACTTTTTTATAGGGAAAAAACTTCTGGAACGTGACTTTTTTTAATAGAATGAGTAAGGAGTAGATTAGTTTGCAATTTTGAAATGTTGAGAGGCATACCTCAAAAAGGAGCTCATCAGGCAAGCAACGGTGTATAAGAGCATTATCAATGAAAGAATTGTGAAATGCATTGCCAAAAGGGGTGACGGGTCTAACATTAACCCCATAAAGATCTGAAATAAATAACCAGATGGCAATGAAGGAACAATAATTACAAATGAAAATATAAAACATCTTTCTTTCCAATAGTGGAGGTAATTAGAAACATAACTCCCAAATACTAAAGGCAAGTAGTAAAGGGGAACCAAGTATGTACCCAGCCATGGCCTTGGAGTTACAAAGAACTGGGCAGTTCTCAAGCGTACTTTTTCTAGCTCTGCTGCAAGTGTAAGCTTGTAATCTGCTAACAATAGTTCAAAGCTAAAAATGAGATTGTCAAACAAATACTTTGATTTGCAACTTACTTCTTCATCTAATTTTGTTTTTGTGAAATGGCATATGACGAAAGACTCCAAGTACTCATTGATTCTTTATTAAAGTGATGGGTATATTTCGACCTTGATAACTATTCTTTACTGCTATCGGTGTGATAGTCGACACATATGGTTAGGACAGCTATTTTAGACACAGACAGACATTTATTTTAAACACTCTCCTTCAAGTTAGATCATAGTATCATACTCCCTCTGTCACTTTGGGCATTGCCTACTTCGACTAAAACTTGAATTATGAAGCTGGAAATAGTAAAGTTGACTGGACTACTATGCCCTTCTTAAAAGCTAGAACTATTGACCACTGACCAGTATGTGTAAAATTAAAGGAAGGAGTTTTGAAATGCTTAAAAAAAGCTAATATCCAAGATGGAAGTACAAGAGACGGTGACTGGTACATAAAGAAAGCTGACAGAAAGGAAAATACTACAACTACGCATGAAGATAATGCAGAGGAGGCAAGGTGAAGGTGACGATAGAGATGAGAGAGAGTCCAGAAAAGAGAACATAAATGGGTGGTTGAGCGAGTAGGTTTTAAGTGATGCAGAATTTTATCGGGGGCAGTGATGTATTTTACTTTATTTTTGTTAACTTAAAATAGTAAGTGGCGAAGTTTTTTGGGACACCTAAAAAGGGAAATATGTAGATATAACTCATTGGATTCTGTTGAGCTGAGCCTGAGAACGAGCCACTTGAGTAACAAGTCAAAACAAATTTGAGTACTTATGTAATCGGTTGAGAACAGCTTGTGTGAGCTCTTCCATTACATACAATTCAGATAAATAATATAAATTTTATCTTATAAATGTGTATATATTTATAAAATTTATTTCTACTTTATTACTAATATGGTACTCGGCAGTTGGCACAGTATAATAATCTCTCTTGCAAATTATTTGCTTTGTATTCCTTTTTTAGAATAAGGCTTTTGATGACGTTGTGTTCCTCTTTTTGAAGTATTCCCTTACTTGCTTCGCTTTCCTAGTTTGGCTTGGTTTAACATTTCAAAAGATATAAATATCTTTTCACTTTTCATCTTCTCTATCTTATTTTTTCTACTCTTTTTTACTTATTCATCTTCTCTCTCTTGCAGTCCTACTGTTGACTAGCCTAACAATTTTCTAAATAAAACCCCTACGAAGAAAATAATAGAGAATGGAGGGAGTATTTGAATGTAAATATTTATTTATGTAATTTTTACATGAGCCGAGCTCGAGTTTGCAAGTTAGAGTTCGATCGAGCTCTAGCCGAGCTTCAAGCTTTGATTTTTATTCGAGCTGAGCTTAGACCCTTAAATATCCAGGCTTTAATCAGCTTGACTACACCCCTACTCAACATCATGAATAACCTAATATTGAACTAAGTATTTTCATTGATAAGTTGATTGTAAAAAACAACCGATCAATAAAAATCAGAATATTCAACACGGAATAAAAAAAACATGGTACAATTAGATAAATACAAAAAATACTTTCCCATACCTGAATTCATTAAGAAAAAGGTAGGCTTTTGGTGTTTTACGTCTAGATTCTAGTATCCTCCTCAACCACGGGCTTTATTTTATCCTGAAGGAGTAAAAAAAATTCATGTGATTTTTTACATCTCTTATAGTCATATAAACCAACTTCGTATGCCATCAATGCAAAACAAATTGCCTTCTACAATTTATTTCTTCTTGGATTTTCTTCCAATCAATCAGATTACAATTCCATATGATGTTATGAACAAACTTGGTAGGTACCACATTTGGTCGAGATCTAGAAAAAATCAAGACATTACTTGGCATATAGGGGATAAAGGTCTAGTGTGATTTATGTGCGCGGGAGAATTCAACATCCTTCTTCGCCCTGGGGTCAGAAAGGGAGGCGCTTTCACTTCCTCCGCCTAGGAGAAAGAGTTCGTCAAATCAGACTCCTCGTGGTCTGCTACATCGTTGAAGTTAATGCAAACCTCAAATTTCATTTCACATAAAACTCAAACGGATTTGAGATTGGATATTGGGATGTGATAATACACTCAAATTCCCATGAATCGTTTTTCTGCTTCTAAAGTAAAATCTCTATAAACACGCACAAATTAAAGCCTGAACGAGTGAATACATACAGATGAAATGAATTTAAGAAATGGAGGCACTTCATCAAAGTGATTTTCACCAATCGAGAAACGCAAACGTGTGGTGCAATCAAACAAAAGATATAAACAAAAACAAAAATCCATGTGTATGCGAGTTTCATACCAGCTTATACAGGTTAGAGACAAAAGCATGTTAAACGAGTTTCTTCGCTGCATCCTCATCAAGAAAATGGGTGTCCATGAGCCGCAATTTGATACCCGCCGGCGGGTTAGGAACTGGTTAGGATCCCAGGTGTGGGACCGGCAAGACTCGGATCGGATTATGAAAATTTCAAATCAAAGCAAGGCCCTATATCATCGAGTCGGGCTGGGTCTTTAGCCACTCGTACTCGGGTCAGTTTTTGGGCTACTTTAAAAGTTTACAAATTTCGGGCAAGTGAAATACTCAAATCCGTGCATATTACAAATACTCCGTAACAAACAGCATTTCATTTTTGTGACAACTTTGGTACCCATTTAAAAAATTGGATACCGTACCTAGCATTCATTTGAATGCTCCAAATCATTATATCATTGTTAATTTAATTTAAATAATTCAACTGCAACATTTTGATTGGTCCACGTTGACAAATGTATGGTACCTTATGGGTACCACATAATCTACTTTTCATTTTATAACCATTTGTTTTATGATCACACAACAAATTTGTTTAACAATCATTCATCCAACATTTTAAACTGACAAAATCATAAATAAATTAAACTTAACAAATGACAATCCCTTTCAAGGTCGATGAAAAAATGAACACAAATTGTAACATAATAAAGTATAATCAATTAAAATTAAGAATGACTTCCAAAACAATCGTACGCAAAACTAAAGATTTAGACATTCTATGGATACTCGAATAGGTCATTCAATATTGGCATAACAATCCCAACGAGTCATCAAATCAAACATAATAAAACTTAGTAGACATTCAAAATGCGCGATGTAAGACCAAGTGTTGGGTGTAGTGTAAAAGAACGATTAAGACCATCAAAACCTAATAATCTATGTCATTCGCCCTGAATTACCCGATGTATTCCAATGACATTATATTCAAAAGAACCGCACTCTCGTCTTCGAGAAACACATAGAATAGGTCGTCCATCAACACAAACAATGTCCTGATCACACACCGCATTGGGAGAACACGCTCACACTTGTGCACAACACCAACACCTGCTTACAGGACGTGGGGAACAAAATGGAGTCTGTATGCTTCATATCATTAAGTTCAACCTATACAATACAGCCTTGTAGTCAATTTAGGGATCACTTTTTTCATAGCGGGCACAATGATTTGGCACAAAATAATATATACTTCATATATGCTATCGTGTGTATCTAAATGTTCCTCGGAGTGTTTTCCTATATACTTTTAGTGTCCCTTTTGCGAGTCCATTATGCAACCTCAATATCATTTTAGTGTAATATTCAAATCAATTGATCTACCCATCCGAGTTGGTATAACTTTTATGTATTCACTATTTTATTGCTAATATATTGAACCAAGCCACGTTCGCATCCCGAACGAGCTGAATATTTGTAAACTTTGAGCCTTGGGATCACACTGAAAATTGATAGAGTATATGAGCTTGGACCCACGTCGTCCCACATACCCTCGAACACACATACAACCCTAACCTGCACCAGCACCAAAAGGACCAGCGAGGAGACCCAGTCCAAAATATAGAGACGGGTTGAATATTCGTATCGTCACCTCTGAGGGATACGCCTCGTACATAGACGTGGGATACACGGGTTCTCCTCGAGAACCGAGGTGCACCCATGCACCTCGAAACCGTCGCCAGCAATAACCACTTTTATATCCCTAGCGGGTTAGAACATATGTAAACAACCCATTAGTGGACCATTACTGTAATCGGGACTCCCAGGCCCAAGATTTGGGAGCCCAACTCATACTCTCCCTATAAATACCCTCATTATCGAGGGTAGTTGTAAGGGGTTCAAAATTCATTTATTGCAAACTCTCTCTCTCTCTCTCTATGTTTTAGCTCTCCCTTCTCTCTAAGCACTTCGGTTTAACCAGGAAGGTATACAAAATAATTCAAGTGGTAGTTATTGTGTACTTATATATTATATATATGCTGTGTGTGGGAAAAAATCTCCAAATAGGACTCATTCGCTCGGTCGCTCCTATTTTAGGAAATTATAGAGCCAGTTTGGTGACTATTTTTGGTTTATCAGACTTATCAGCCAACTTTTAAACCAAACATGTAACTTTTGATTTGACACGCTGAATTGTGTAATAATAAGAAAAGTAAGGTTGGAGTTACTTTGCTGGTTGTATCGGCTGAAGTTATTGTATATGACCATTTTAGCTATTTTCTCATATATATTTTTCTTTATTTTATTAATGAAATATATTTTAAATATAATTTTTTCATGAATCAATAATCAACAATACTGCCACTTCAGCTAGATTTTCATAAATTTCATCATTATCGGCCGAAATATTTTAGTCATATTTTAAAACTCTATGTGTTATGGTCCTATATTGAGCAATTTTTATACTCCTTCCCTCCCTAAATAAAAGCATATGTTTCCTTTCGGACCGTCCCTAAATAAAATTCTTTTTTCCTTATTTGGCAAACAAAACAGTGCAAAACAATGTCAAACAGTGTCGAACAGTGTCCAAACAGTACCAATCAAGTGAATCAATCTAACTTTCTTAAAATGTGTGAAATAAAGCGAGTATATTTTAATTGCCTTGGCTCTAATCCTACTAATTTGATAGTTTTTGTTCGTGAAATTTAGAACAAAACCGTGTTCTTCACTCATGGTTCATATCTTACATTTATACGAGTAATTTTCTTTCTTAAAATGTTACTCCTTCCGTCCCTTATAACTTTTTCAACTTTCCTTTTTTGGTTGTCTCGAAAACCTTATCACTTTCCCTTTTAGTCAATCAATTCGTGGCTCAGGTTGTTTTTCTCTCTTCTGCACAAATCTCTACCGCACAGTTTTTACTTTATAATTCTGCGTGTCAGTCAAACTTGTCGATCCTTTTAGGGAGGGAGAGAGTATTATTTTATCAAAGAAATCTTCACTCACCACCGAACTTCCACTTCAGACAATTGCACGAACGTAAACACAAGTAGGATTAAGACCAGTTGTTAGACCGGAAATATAGCATATACAAATTAGAATAAACTAACAAAAAATTAAAAGGCATATACTTGGAATTCTGCAAATATTACAATGACGAAAATAACCATGCATTTTTGCATTCTGTCTTTTTCTTTTTGTTGGTTGACTGGGCCGATTCATTCTTGCATGCGACCATGGGTTGCCTAAAGGAAAAGCTCAAAACTTATGCAATTCCATTTTGAGCCTTGGGTTTATTGTCAACCCCCATTTCAATAGAAGCATCATTAGTGGCTTTCTTGTCTTTCCCATTGTTATCGCGATATATAGCGTACAAAATCAGTTGAACCATTCCCAATAGAGATCCCACACCGTTTGGCACCTGCGTTTGTTACAAATGTAGAAATGTGGATCAGCGTGTTTAAATTAAAGGAATAGCCCCTGCTTTGTTTTCATTTATTTAAAAACAATGGCATCTTAGAGCATCTCCTATGTTAAAACGTAGGGGTGAGCATTCGGTCGGTCAAATAACCGACCAATATTTTTTACTCTAATAACCGACCGATAACCGACCGACAACATTACAAAAACCGACTGAAAAATGTCATTCAGTTTCGGTCGGTAACCGAATAACCGACTCTATTTCAAAAGCATATAATTTTCAAAATTATGAAAGTTGTAAACAACACATTAATAAATAAAATAATAAATACTCCGTACCAAAATAGATTTCACTTATTTAAATGTAAATAATAGTACAAAGCACACTACATATGCACACATGATGCATCACTCACATATATCTTTTTCAATCAGGAGACAAAATAAAAAATGACATGTTAGCAAATAATTAAGCAATTAACTTCTTAAACATTTAACTCCAAACCAGCAAACTGATCTAACGAGGTCAACGGTTGAGGGCTCAAGATCATTCGACTATTGGGTTTCATAGGTGGATTTCAATAAGTGTGGGCTGGACTTCAATTCATGCTATGGACTTCAATAAAACTTCTTTTCCTTAAAAAACTTATATATTTTGGACGGTTATCGGTGACCGACCGATAACCGATAAAAACCGAATAACCGAATAACCGATTCTTTTTAATTTATTATAACTGAAAACCGACCGATAACTGATTTTTCGGTCGGTTCAGTCATCGGTTTTCGGTCAGGTCGGTTAAATCGGTTATTTGCTCACCCCTACTAAAACGTTAACGGTGCATACGTGGCATGAGAAATAACCAATTAAAAAACAATAAACAGAATATCTCTCTCCTTATTTGAAGGATCTTACATTATTTTGGTAAGTTTTTCTTCACAATGTCAAGCAAAATGTCTAGATGTAGACATTGTAGTTGACATTACAGACAAAAACTTATCAAAAACATATAAGACCGTGCAAAGAATGAAAGAGAAATTTCATAAAATCAATATTTTGTGTCTATCTCTCTCATGCCACATGTGCACCGTACACATTGTAGCATTGGAGATGCTCTAAGAGCATCTCGAAAGCTACAATGTGTACGGTGCACATGTGGCATGAGAGAGATAGGCACAAAAATTGATCTTATGACAATTCTCTCTCTGTCTTTTCACGGTCTTGTGTGTTTTTTGTAAGTTTTACTCTGCAATGTCAACCACAATGTCTACATCTAGACATTATGTTTGACATTGTGAACAAAAACTTACTAAAACGATATAAGGTCCTTTATATAAGGAGAGAGATATGTTAATTATTGTTTTTTGATTGGCTATCTCTCATGCCACGTGTGCACCGTTAATGTATTAGCATTGGAGATGTTCTTAGTCTCTAAGGATCGCATTCCTATTATTTCAATAAAACAGTTTAGTTCAAATTTTAATTGGACTAAAATTTGATGATGTTGTCTGATTTGGTCTGGTAAATGTTCGAGCGGTCTCAATATACTACGGAGTACATAATTGTCTAAGTTTTGTCTGATTTGTTCTGATCTAATCTTAGATTGAAAACCGTACACGTCAAAACATACAAGTAAACATCCTGATTCAACAGATATCACCGTAAAGTTTATTAAAAAAACTTCCAAATTAAGTATCAGAACATAGTTCAATGGCACATATAAATGAGAAGCAATAAAATGAACCTTATAAGTAGACCAAGTAGTATGTGGACATGCATAAAATTAATCAAATTCAACTAATTACTTACCGCGACGAAAGGGTCCTTGCCAAGGAGACCATAGACGAACCATGAAGTACCACATAGGAAAACAAACATCGATAAGAAGAAGGGCATAAACTCCACGCTCTTCGTCTTAATCACCGTCCTCTAAACATTTCAAAAAAATTACAAAATAATTAATAGAATACAATTACACATCACAAAAACCATATAATCTAATCACTATTCGAGAAAATAAATTAGATTGATTGTCCGTCCGGTGATGAGGGGCCCTCAACGATGGGGTCAGGGTTACATTTAAAACCGACCTGGACCGGACGGGTTGACTCGAAACCCGGTGCCTGAACAAAAACCCAATTCGATTAGTTAAAAACCCAAAAATGGTATTAAAAAAACCGGAAAACCCTGATCTGGACCCGCACCCAAAAAACCCGGGAGACCCCGGTTTTGGGTGTTTTTCCAAAAAAAAAAAAAAGCATTTTTCAAACCTTAAAATTGCAATTTCAATACTCTAAAGCGAAAAACTATGTGATATATTTATATATTTATTTAAGAATGAAATTAAACCATGCCAAATTATAATACAAAAAAAATATCGGTATATATTCTAATAGGATCAAAATTACATTTTGAAATAGTATGAGAGTGTATTAAATGCTTAATAAGTATCATCATTAATTATATAAAAAAAGTATCATCATTAATCCTTTCAAAAAGAAGTATCATCATTAATTAATATTTACACTCCACCTCTTCACAAATTTTAATTTGAGCCTTTTGAATTAATGAGTGCATATAATAATTATTTTCAAAAACAGAATTAAAAGTCCAATTTTGATAAAAAACGAGGTATAAATCCAAAATTTCATTAAAATAAAGATTTTGCTTGAATATCACTGAAATAGAACTTAAAAAAGTTACTTTGAGGGTATAATCAAGACTACAGTTTAAGCAATCACACTTTCGTTAAATCATCCTAGGTTTCTCCAAGAATAATATGTACTACAACATACTCCATCCGGTCCTTAATAAAGTTTACACTTTGACTTCACACATATTAAGAAAATAAATTTGACTTTACTGTAGAATACACTGTTTGACACTGTTTTGCACTGTTTGGTGTAGATTTGTTTGCCAAATAAGACAAATAAGGAAATTTAAGTTTAATATGAGACTAACCAAAAAAGAAACTGTAAAGTTAATTAAGCATCAGGGAGTATAAGGATGTGTTCATTGAATTTTGGTGGCTAGCCAAGAAGAAATTTCCACGACACGTGAACCTACTATAATAATTGCAATAAATCACCCATTCCATGTCCCTTGTTTTCACATTCATTGCACCGAAATCATCTTACATTCCATGATACCATACCAAAAAAATGATGATTAGCCGCAGTGTTTAATTACAATAGTTTGACTAGACCATATTAGTTAACAAAATCAAACCCAACTTAAAAAAACAGATCAAACAAAAAACCAATTAAAAATTAATACTCAAAACTAATAGAAAGATGTAAAAATAAATAATCTTGCATTGGAGAATCTGACTTGCAACTGAGAAAGCTGAACTTTACGAGTCATATCCCTCTCCATTTCTTTCTCTCCATTTACTCTCTCCATTTCTTTTTCACTCTATCTATCTCCTTAAAAAAAATAATTAAATCTCATCTTTTCTTTCTCCCTACCCACCATTTCCCCGTCTCACTCTATCTCTCTCCTAATGGAGAATTCCGGTCACCATTATTTTAAAAGAAGGAAAATGATATTTCTACTCACCCTTATATCACTTTTATACCATGACAAAAACTTTTTTGTATGTGAATCCCATTAAATATCACATACAATATGGCTCAAAAACCGAACAAAAACCGAACCAAATTGTTATGTGCCACAAGCAATTTGGACTTGTACATGACTTTACAAACAGAATTTTTCGAAAAGAATACTCCCTCCGTCCCAAATTGTTTTACAAAGTCAACATTTTTCAGTCAATCAATAATAAAAGTCAATCTCTCTATTCATAATTAATTCAATTTTTAATAATTAAATTTATATATTCAGAAACTACATTGAAATCTCTCTAAAGTCGCAAACTTCAAATTAGAATATAATAAAAAATTGACATCCTAATTAAGTGAATAAAATTAAATTGTTTGAGGAAGAAAAGTCAAATAAATTTGGACAAGGGCGAAACATAGCTTACCATGATGGACAAGGGCGAGCCGTACATAATGATGGAAAAGATTGCGGCAGCAAAACCACACAAGAGTTTCCTGGCATTGTGGTGAAGGGCAAGCACAGACACCAAGGCCACTGATGAGAAAATAGTGAGCACCACAGCCAATAGCCCTGAGATCTTCGCCTTTTCCTTTTTGGGTGCAAAGAAGAGGAAAACCAGCACATACACTGCCTCCAGCCCCGCCCCCGTTCCATTGATGATTGACACCAGAATGTTGTTTGGGGATATAAACGGCAGTCCGTACCTTCAATTTTTTTTTTTAGTTAATTAATTCATCACACTAACAATGACGTCGTAGCCAACGCTATAAATCGGCCAATTCTGCTGAAATTTATGATGTTATGACTGAAGTTGCTGAATTGGTAGAGTTGTGAAAAAAGATGACAAAAATAACTAAAATAATCATATACGGTAAATTCAATCAATTCACACAGAAAATTACATGTTTTAATTATTACACAATTCAGCGGCCGCTAAATAAAAGTCATGTATCACAATTTTCTCGAAACCAGATCTTTTCAATACAATTTTCTTTTCACTTTATTATCTGTTTGCTAATTCAAAACTGGATGGGCTACCGGGAGGGCGAGAGTAACACAATTACAGCCAAACAAAGTGACAATGACAAGATCGACAAGCCACGAGTTGAAATCCGAGAGGCGTGTGAGGGTATAGAAGGGATATAAAGTTTTCCAAAAGTTTGTGATGTTTTGTTGGGTTCTCCACAACTGTGAGAGTTGGTGTGTGTCGCTTGTGATTTGTGAATTGAATCATTGATGGAAGAGTCAAGAGATAGTGTGTCTTTTTTTCAATTGCACTTACTTTCTATAGCTTTTTTACTTAGGTTCAATTCTACTCAGTGACGGAGCCAGAAAAATAGCTTAGAAGGATCCAAAATGGTGTATCATTTTTAAACAATGTCCGAGTTTAATATTTGATATGCAGTTTAGATAAATAGACACTTATCACAATAAGATAGATTGTCTTTACTCTGTTTCTGAATCTTGTCACGTAAGTATTCGTGAATTATACTCTTTTTTAAGAATTTGGGAAAGTAATCTATAGTATGTGTCAAATTTTTGCTGATTTTACATTTAGGCAGTGCTTATTTTCCAGAAGTCATAACTTTTTTTTGCTCATAATAAGTTATTGAGGTCATAATATATCAAATCGAAGATAATTCAGAACTTTATGCTCTCGAACTTTCAGGGGGGTCGACTAAACACCCTGACCTCCTATTGGCTCCGCCCCCGATTCTACTCCTAATAAACAAAGGCGATACAAAGTATAAAAGGAAAATTCTCCTCATTTTACTAGAGCCTAATTTGGATGCAAAAAGAAATGCTTAAGAAAGAACAAAGTTGGAAAGGGGTTTTTTATTGCAAAGAGTAGGGGAGGCGATAAAAGTGCAAAGAAAAAAACGATATTTTGTTTGTACGGATAAGTCATCTTTGGACTTATAGAAGAGTGATGAATTGCATTAATGAGGTTGAGATTTAAATTGAACTGACGACCTTCTTCGCTTCAACGTTTTCTGTCTGTCCCCTTGTGGCCACAGATTTTATTTTTATGGAAATTGATGTTAGGCTGAGTGTGCGAATCCACTCACATGCCTATCCATTCGTTACAATTCGACATTTTTCTACTGTTTTTTTCAATTCGGGTAATCGACATACACTATACAATTCAATGTTAAAAAGTATAGATATTTAATTTGATTACTTATTCGAATCTATTCCCTTATATTCCAATATTCATATTTACACACACACACACACACACACACACACACACACACACACACACACATATATATATATATATATATATATATATATATATATATATATATATATATATATATATATATATATATATATATATATATATATATATATATATATATATATATATATGAGGTGTTTGGCATACAATATATATTTGTAGAATCAAAAGCAGTTTTTATAAAGATTTAAGAACGGTTTCTAAAAATATTTTGAACACTTATAAATAGCTTTTCACTTTTTCAAACACTCCAATATTTGATTTTATTCTTTGAAAGACTATAAACAGTTTTAAGGACTACGTTTAAACACTTCTAAATGTTTATTTATCAAAAACGTAATTTTTATTAGTCTTACAATCAAGTTTTTATGGCATCATTATGATGGACATTATTGAGAAAAAATTATGAAAACATACAAAGTCATGTAAAAGAAAAAAGAAAAGTGTTATTGGTTTGTTTTTATGTGTCTATTTCCAAGTTTACAAATTGGAAATGATGTAAGTTTTCATAAGATAAGAACGAGAATACGGGGACAAAAGTTCACAAATAAGTCAAATAACTAAATTTGAATATGGTTAACTATTGGAATGTAGTACTGTTTAGTCATTTTGGAAGTCTAGTCACCTCAATTTGAGTGAGTCCGATGTCATTTGTTGATAAAATTTTATGAACATGTTTTCATAAATTGTAAGTTATATACTTGCTCACTATTTAAAAGTTTGATGAACTTTCTCATTTGGATTATATTTAAAAGTTTACTACACTTTCCTTTTATGTTAAGTTATTTTTAAAAAATACTCAATTACTCCGATTTGTCATACTTTTATCTTCTTCCACAGAGGCGGCTTTGAGGGCAGTTGGGCCAGGCAACTGCCTTGGGCCTCAACTACCAAGGGGGCCTCCAAAAAATTCTACTCCGGTATTAGTATTAGGTGTTATTCGCAGACCGTCAATACACCAAGCGGCAACTGCAAGCAGAAATCAGCTTTATAGTTCACTTTTGACTATTCGTCCTTCATCAAAGTTGTAGCTAATGAAGTCTTCTATCCAACACGACTTGCAAAATTGGATTTGAATCATCCAATAAAAATATATGAATAAAATGGTGGAAGGTCGCATTCTGAAATCTCAACAGAGATTGTCTGACTTCATCGTCTGTTTTCACCTTGCTTCTATCAGATTCTCATAATGGTGTCTTCATATGATTTATATCCCTTGAAGTTGGCTTTCATATGAAACTTGAATAATGTTTTTTAGATGTTCCTAAGAAAAGATACGCTTGAACGATTGACAGAACGTCATCCTGATCGTTGTTTTCAAGCTCTATTCGTCTTCTTTTGATCCCGTAGCCAATTCTAGAGCTCTTTTGTCTTTAAAACTTTGTCTTTAACACCTCACTGATCTCCAATGCTCCTAATCAACTCTAAAATGCTTCTCAACTCGTCCCTATTGCTTCTCAAACACCGGTGCCAGGCTCAAATTCCCTGATTTTGACTCCAAAAATACCAAAACTCGAACCAACGGCCGGTAAATATGACTTGAGCTTAAAATTGAGACTTATGACACCTTAAAGTTATGAAAAAACTATCAAAAGCCGATCTCAACACGCATCAACGTCCAACACAGACCGCTAATCGGCTACTGTATATATGCCTCACTGCCCGCCGTCGACATGGGTCCTTGGTTAGTGAATCAACTAAGACTTTTCAGCTCTTCTCTCTGAGTCTTGTTCTTGAAATCTCTTAATACTTTTACAAGTACAAGTTTGCCTTGTGTTTTGAATAAGTTTGCATTTTAAAATTTATCCTTTTGAATATTATAAATATTATATCGTGGACTTTGAATATGCTTTTTTTCATAAGACGATTTTTATTCAATTTATTTGATTTTAAAAGTGATTTGTACATAGTAAATATTTTTCGTCTGGGGCCTCCAAAATGCTCAAGCCGCCTCTGTTCTTCCATTTCCTACTTTATCACTCTCTTTCTTACTTTTTACACAATAATCGTTACCTATATTATTTCTCCCTTAAATATGTTCCAAAACCTAATATAATGATCTTTTAAATATGGAAGGAGTATATATATTGACGCAGCTATTTTCAAAATTTTATTTAATTGACTCCGTGATTGAATTTTTGGTTGGAATTTAGTAGCACAATTTATACTCCATAAAAAATAATATCACGATCATCTTAAATTGAGGTTGCGAGAGGCTGTCGGACAGAAAGATTTGTGATGCATAATTACGTGTAGTAAAACTATAAAAGCATAATTATAGTTACAATAATGAGTCCAACTGTGTACGTTAAATGAATGAAAGAGATGGACTTGGACTGACCAGGCAGAGAGCAAGCAATTGAGCAGCGTCATAACATACGGTATCCCTGAAAACTCCTCAGTTGAGCCCTTCTTTATCACCCTCTTGAAAGTAATCCTAAGCAAGATCAACCAGAAGAAGAAATGAATAATTGAAGAATTAATTGAGTTTCCAGGAAAGAAAACTCAATTATTAATGTAATTAAGAAGAGCAGGGAGCGATTAATAATCTGTAGCTCTCACATTGGTGCCAAGAACAAAAACAAGCCAGTAATGTTCCCTGTTCCAGAAACAGAGATCGATTATTGTTGCACCTTTTAAAAGAAATAATGTTTAAGAAATGATGAAAGAATAATAACGGAATTAGCAGCTTCTTCTCTACCAAAAACCCCAAAAGTGGTGTGGAGAGCTTTGATAACTGCCATGGCGGATCGGAGTGAAATGAGACGAGAGAAGTGTGTATTCAATTCCGTCCTGCCCGGCCTAGGGGCTGCCGTATATATACTACGTATATTATTGCAGCTTATACGAAAACGTATATATCTATCGGTGTGTGTGAGAGTTATCGACACACAATTAAGGTCAAGTTGGTCAACACACCTACACCAATATTAAAATATTTATTTATTTATTTATACGCTACGGATATACACGAAAGAGACATATATCTGATGCGCACATAAATGCCGACTAAATTTTAATACCCAAAATAAAATGGTGTCCAGTAATAGGGGTAGTTGAAATGCATCCATTCTCACTTATGTAGTCACAAGATTTTCTCAAACAATGATGGATAAATCTTGTAGAGGCCGAGGTGTGCTGACAGGCTTATAAAAATCGTATGATTGAGATTTGTGTAAAGCAAGTTAAAGTTAAGAAGAAATAATAAAAATTACAAAATAATAAATTAAAAGAGAAAGTGATAACGTTTTTTATACAGCAAAGAAATGAAAAACAATAAAATTATAATGAGCAAACGGAGAAATTGTTTACGCCAAATTGTAATTGTCTGTATGCAAACAATTCATTTTAATTTTAGTAAAGGGAACTATTGTGACCCCAAAAAATAAATTGTTTGTCATCCTAAAAATGAATTGTTTGTGCGACTGTGCACATACAATTCGGGATTGCATACACTTCTCTAAATCTTTTTATTAAAATAAATTATTTGTGCACAGACAATTAGATCTGAACACGTAAACAAGTGTGTAACCCAGCGTTTACAAGTAACACAGTCGTGAAAGAAAATGGTGCAATTGTTGAAGGGGTGGGGTATGGGTGCATATGTTGGCAGCACAATGTATAAAAAATAATTGAGCATCGCTTTGCTTTGCTGTGTTGATGAAATCGATCTTCTTTCTTTAGCTTTTATTTCGGTGCCTAATGAATCCATTCGGTGCCTCTATTTTTGTAATAATAATGCATGTGGGTGGGCACCCGGATTCTGTCCAAGTCCTTATCTTGAAAGCGTTGCATTACATTAACACACTACCGTTCTTCTCACCTTTACGGGTGATAGGATACTTCCTCCGTCCTTTAAAAGTTTTACACGTTTAATCGGCACGTAAAATAATAAAGTAAAAATTATGTGGTAGAAATTTGTGTAGAGGAGAGAGAAATAACAGGAGTCATAAATTGATTGATTAAAAGTGAAAGTAGCAAAGTTTTTGAGACAACCAAAAAGGAAAGTAGGCAAAGTTATAAGGGACGAAGAGAGTATTTGATTTGGGTGAACAAAAATGTCGCTCTCGAATGAAATCACGGTAACTCTTTCACCCTAAGCCAGAAATGACAAGTTGTGGCCTAGTTACTATGCATTTTAGCATGGTAACTCTCATTGTAGTTGCCGAGATTCGAATCCGAGACTTACTCATAGGGCCAGAGCCAGAACACTGGGTCGGACTGCGCTGATACAAAGAAAATTCTTGAAAATTTTTGTGTCCGAGATTTTTTACACTAAAAATTAAGACATTTTTAAATTTGGGCTAGGCCAGGGCCAACGTTGGCCCTCCCCTGTCACCGCCCCTGCTTACTACGCCCTCCCTATCTACCTGTTGAACTACGCTCACCGGTCGAACATACGTTTACAGAATTTATGTTTAGGCGATCAAAGTTTAAAATGTCATTATATTTGTTATTGTCTATAAATATTTATATATATATATATATACACACATTACAACTTGACTTGTGTGAATGAAAGTCATACATACCGTTTTTTAAAGAGTTAATTATCAAAATAGGACTAAAAGTCTTTCACTTTTCACAAATAGGATCAAAAAATGAACTATGTTTGCATAGGACTAATTATGTGTACCTTGGACAATTATACCCTTATAGCTATTAAAATGTTTTAATTCCTAATAAAATAATAAAAAATAATATAAATTCGTAAAAAATACTAAAAAATTAAGAAAAACATTTCGATATTAAAAATTTAATCCATTTTTTTTTCAAAAAATTAAAAAATTTAAAAAAAAAACTCAAAAAAAAATCGCCGCCGCCTCTGCCGCCTCAGCACCACCACCTCCAGTCATCAGGGGAAAAAAATGCCAAGTTCATTACAAATTCCATATTTATGGCAGAAAAAAATGAAAATGTTGGCATTCGAAAAGAGAAATATGCCACCTTTTTGGCATTTTCAGAAAAAAATGGCACTTTTCTGGGAAAATGGCATTTTTTTCATCGGCCGGAGGTGGTGGTGCTGGGAGGTAGTATTGGCGGTGGGAAAGACATCCATATTTTTTTAAATTTTTTTAAGGAGTTTTACTATTTTTTATTAATTTTTTTAAAAATAAAATTATTTAAAAAAAATGTTTTGAATTTTTTATTTTATAAAATTTTTATAAATTTTTTAATTATATTTCTACGAATTTTTGATTTTTTTCGAATTTATTATGAATTAAACATTTAATTATGGCTTTTGACTATTTTTAATTCGTATTTAATGGGGAGGTAGTATAGGCGGTGGGAAAGGCATCCATATTTTTTTAAATTTTTTTACGGGATTTTAATATTTTTTATTAATTTTTTTTAAAAATAAAATTATTTTTAAAAAAAAAGTTTTTGAATTTTTTATTTTATAAAAAATTTATAAATTTTTTAATTATATTTCTACGAATTTTTGATTTTTTTTTTCGAATTTATTATGAATTAAACATTTAATTATGGCTTTTGACTATTTTTAATTCATATTTAATAGAAGGGTAAGAATGGAATGCAAAAATAGGTATGTTTCCAATATGACTCATATGATCCTATTTTGGAATAAAAACATAGCAAGTCCTATTTTAGGTTTTTGCCATAATTTTAGTCCTATTTGAACTAATTTCTATTTTTTAAACTAGTATGTCCTGTTTTTGAAAAAAAAAACTTGTGTTTTGGTCCTATTTGAGGACTTCTCTCTTTTTAAAAGGAAATTCCTTAAATAGGAGAAGAAAAGATTGAAAATTTCAAAATAGAAATGACATGTTTTAATTTTCAAAATAGGAGTAATTACTGTCAAGTTTCAAAAATAATGTCATATTTAAAGTCTGATACTGTTAAAACATTGCAATAATTAGTCATATTTTAAAAATAAAAACATGATAGTTATATTTTGGAATATATAAACATTTTTAGTCTTATTTAGGATAACTTCCCTTTTTAAACTCTTTTGTTGACACAAGGTGATTTCCAAATTCACATATTAATTATTAGTTTCTGATAAGAGAGAATGATTTTACATCTCATTTTTGGATGATATTTCACTTTACATCATATTTTCAAAATTATGTACTCCAATTTACTATAAAATCATTTGGTTATACATGACACTCCTTCACAATTTTGGACAAATAAGATACATATTTTGAAAATGAAATTCAAAATTTAATATCCTCAAAAAATGGGATACAAAAGTTAAATTCTTTCTTCTAATAACCTTTGATACGTGCGCTATTTGATGTATTTGCATTTCCGGTCTGTCTACTATTTGGTTTGTCTCACAAACATAATAGATAATACGTGAGACAATCATACAAGCATACACATGATCATAGCTTTAAAATATTTTTGTTTTATTGCGAAATACTCCCTCCGTCCCGGAATTATCTTCACACTTTCCTTTTCGGTCTGTCCCAAATTTATCTCTTCTTTCCCCTTTTAGCAAAGAATTTGTGGTTCACAATCATTCTTACTTATTCTTACACATTTCTCTTTCCTCTACATAACTCTCCACCACACATTTCCTACTATCTTAATATGTGTGCCAATTGTACTTGTGAAAATAAATATGGGATGGAGGGAGTACATAATTCAGACTACTAAAACGAAGCAGAGTGACATGTCACATGGGAAATAGATAAACATGTATATTGAGGACACATTTAAGTCACATATTATAGTATTAAATAAATAAACGGTGTTTTATTAAATCTTCCTTCTAGGCAATTAATAAACATGTTTTATTAAATCTTCTTTCAGGATAGCAATATAGCATAACCATTGATGATTTCTTTTTATTTTTTTGGCAAAAACCATTGATGATTTCTAAAAACTATTTTTAGTGATTCTTACCTTTTAATTATTGCCACATAATAATTCTTTTCATAATCTCAAATTTCTTTTATTACCCTCTATCACCATCCTTTTCTTAGTCCTGCCCCTCCTGGTGCACTAACCTATCACATACTTTTTAGATAATTTAAAGGAAAAATTGAAAATAATAATCTCAACTATCGTCGGTCCGCCGTTAATAATCCTCACTATCGATTATTCTTGGATGATCCAAATATATGGGTCATTTTCTAAAAACTGTCCCTAACCGGTTACAATCTGATATAGCAGGTTGATTTTAAATGTGAACTATGTATAAGTTTTAAATAATCTCAGCTATAGTTGACATTTTTTTATTATTCTCAACTATCAACTGTCAATTTTCGGAAGATATAGAAATATTTTTATAAATTTCCAAACTAAATATTTTTAAACATTAATAAACAACTACGAAAGTTATACAAAGTACCAAAGTTAAATAAAATATTTTTTCATTTTTCGATTTATTTTCACTAAAATTTATTTTTTTTTATTTTTTCCAATTTGTCTTTCCCAGCCGTGTTACCAATTTATGATTTTGTATTATTTTCCTTTATTCAAATTTACATTTTCTGTTTCCAAAAAGTAAACAATGATTAAAATGATGTTTTTTTTGCTATCTTAATTCTAAAAATCTGAATTTTCTATTTTTTCCAAATTGAATTTCCTCTAACAAAACTGCCACAACACCCCAATAAACATGTTTTACCACCAATGCAGAGTGATTGTTTCAAGTGTATCAACGACCTAACCGTGTATTTCACAAGGAAAGAAACACATACTCACTCCGTCCCTATATAAAAGTATCCATTCATTTTACACACATCTTAAGAAAGTGGATTTGGTTGGTACTGTTTGGACACTGTTTGGCACTGTTTTGCACTGTTTTGTTTGCCAAAAAAGGAAAGGGAACTTTTATTTAGGGACGGCCCGAAAAGGAAACGGATGCTTTTATTTAGGGACGGAGGGAGTATTAAATATTCTGATAAAGTAAAATGCCTCTAAAGATATGCTATCCTTTGTTATAAATATAAGTACTGTAGTACTACGTATATAAAAAGGCTGGTACGCACGTTTTAAGAGGTACTACACTACTACGTACCCATAATCCATGTGAGCATGCCCTTTGTTATAAGATTGCTGTATGTAATGCGAGATTATATAACTATAAGCTGAACCATATGGACTATGGAGCATAAGAGTTATTCATCCATCAACTGCCAAAACAAAATTTTCATATATTTCGCTGAATATTATTTGATCAATAAGATCCCAGTTAGTAATGAATAAACTTAATCACTGTACAACTTGCCTAGCGATCAGGTTAGAGAGATTAGAGAACTATGAAGAATTCTGCAACAAAAAACTATGAGTATAAACTTAGAAATTTCCCCTATTCCATCAACTTATACAAAACCTTCAGGTAGATGTTAGATCGGCTTTCAGTTAGCTCACTAATAAATACTCCATCATAGCTCATGGGTTAAGATAGTGTAACCTGATTTGCTCATGAGCCTTCACAGCTTCCAATGTGAAATTCTCCAAAGCTTTGAAAATCGGGAGCAGACCGCCTTGTAAACTATTTGAAGCTGCCTCATGCACCAGCTTTAAAGTATTCTTGTGCTTTAATTTCTCTTCAACCAACCTCTTCCGGACCATGTCTAAGTCAACTTTTTTACTATCCAACGGTGAACCCCCATTTGCAGATGGAACCATCGAGCCCCCAGTCTTCTGTGACACCGCATCTCCATCATGCTCCGTTCTTTCCTTCTCCATCCTAAGCATTTTAAGTCGTCTCTTGTAATCCTCTGAAAGATATTCAGCTCTAAGCCTCTGATGTTGCTCCTCGCCTTGTCTTTCACATAGTTTCCTCAAGTTTGAAGCAAAACTGTTCATACTCATCGCCACTCGAGTTTCAGAAATGGTTTCCATTGCCATATTCCAATCATTAATAACTACAAAAATTGGAGGTGCATGCAAACGGCCAGGCGAAAAGGGGATAGGTCCATCAGGAGTTAATTCTGGCTCATAAAAAATACACCTAAGAAGCCACCCATGTAAGGACTCAACATAAGACTTCTGAGTGCAAATCCAATGATTAAAGCGACTGCACCATGCGAGAAGCTGCGATTCAAGTTCATGAGTAGCTCTCAAAGCGGAATCTGCATGGAACCCAGTGTTTGCCTTCAGAGCACGCACTTTACTCTCCCTAATCGCTTGGAACTGCTTTTGATGACAATTAAGCATGGATCTCCACATCCTTATCAGGCTGTCAGTTAAAACAATTTAGGTACAATTAGAATATTACATTAAAGTATTAGTTTGGGTAAGCAGAGAAGAGGGGATTTTCTAGGAAGAGATGAGGATTATGAAATTTATTTCACATCATAACTACAAAAATGACAACTGCAACTAATCATTCATGAAATAAACGAACTTTAACCGATTAACTTTGAAGAAAAGGGAAAAGGGAGAACTATCAAATAAGCCCCCGAACTTTCATAAAAAGTGCAAATAAGCCCTTTTAGAGGAGGCTCTGTCCGGCTGTTGCCATTTGGGGCGGTTTTCGGTGGAATTTTTTTATGGAAGTTTTTGAGTATCTTCTTCATTAAGTCTAGTTTATTCATACCAAATTTCAGCTAAATATTCAACCGGGAAGGCAGTCAAATGAATTTTTGAAGATAACTGTGCAGTTAGACAGCACAATATATTTCAGAAAATCATTTGACTGCCTTCTCAATTGAACTTTTAGCTGAAATTTGGTATGGATAAACTAGACTTAATAAAGAAGATGCTCAAAAAAATTCATCGAAAAAATCCACAGGAAACCGCCCCAAATGGCGACATCCGGACAAAGCCTCATGTAAAAGGGCTTATTTGCATTTTTTATGAAAGTTCGAGGGCTTATTTAATAGTTCTCCCAAAAGGAAAAAGTTCAAACATGTAAAAGGTTGAAGAGTTGACCATACTGCTCTCACCCTGCTTGCGGGGTGGAATGCTGCTTCCAAAAAGGCCTTACTATCGTTAAAACATATGACCAAAAACATATAAATAATTCATTGAAAATGTCAAGTAGTAAACATGAGAATTTATCACTTGTTGAAGTATACAAAGAAGAGGATGAGACTAAGAAGGATATATAGGCTGCATGTCAAACTAATGGAAGAAAAACAAAGAGATGCTAGAACAACATGAGTATGGGTGTCTTGAAAGTAGCCTGTAGATGCCCTCTTATGAATGATAGCAAGGAAGTAGTAGTAGAAAGAGGGTGTGGATAAAGTCCAACTTCTAGAGCTAATTGTTGAAAAGGAGAAACTAGTACTGCTGGTTACATGCCAACTAGCATTAAAGAGAGAGCTAATATAGTAATATGATATTGAGCCTGATATGATATAAGTTCAAAAATAAAATCAATTGCATCAAAATCAATAAGCATAAAAGTGAAAGGCAATGGGCTAAAGTTCATCAAGTTACATACATGGAAACGAAGCAAATAACTACTCCAAACTGAGTCTAATGGAATAGTCTCATGTGTACTCACCCAGCAACTAATTCTGTAACTTGGGGTCGTAATTCTTCATCCCTTAAGTTGTGTATCCTACTTGAAATAAAATCAATTGCTTTTAAAGAAACGTTGAGTTTAGTGAGTGATTTTCTAATCGAAGCCTGAACAGCATCAATCTTACTCGACTCTTTTCCTCGCTCATCCAAAACTTTTAGCTTTCGACATTGCCTTTCATACACAAGCCGCAATTGTTCTTCCACCTTCATCAAATTAAGAAGAGTACCACTTGTCATGACATTATGGTAGATACGATAAAAATAAAGTGAAAAGAGGAGGTAACCAAAATGTAGGCACAAATAAGTTTGGGGTCTAGCATTTAATCCTGTCCTAAATCCATCTTTATAGTTGCTTTTGGCACGGCTTTTGAGGAAATCTAATTATGTGGTTGAAATTTAACTAGAAAAGCTACAAAGAAGAGGTCATATGAAAGTTACAATTTTTCGTAAAAGGAAACGGCGAAGAAAATTTGAGACAGGTGAGAAGAGAAACTGTGGAGTACATATACGGATGGAAGGAGTAGCTTTTACGTTTCAACTATTGAATTCAAGAGTATGAATAAGTCTACAGCTTAATGAGGATACTTCTCATAAATATTCAAAAAAGAATACAAGAGCTGATATAAAGCAAATCCAAACGGATTTGTAATTCAAAGAAGATTAATTCTAAATTGGTTTCTTAATGTTCATATCATTGTCTATATCTATTACGTACACTTCACATCCACTTATATGGTTTTACTACGTATAAGTTATAAAATATAACTAATGTGGGACAAATGAACACAGTAGTAGATGTACTCCATGTTTCATTCATTTGATTCAGCTTCTATTTAGCTTCCCAGTCATCCACTATGCCTTTTGGTAAAGCAATGAGAGACAAATATATCCCTTCTCAAGCCAAATATTCAACATTATTTATAAACAACTACAAGAGTAACTTTTAAGCTTGAGATAGTGACATAGTGCAGATGTCTTCACTTTCAACAAGAAATAAAACTAAAATATCCTTTAAAATATATTAGTTGAAAAACAGTTCTTTCTTCTGTTTATAAAATAAATAAAAATGAAGGATGTAATGAATCACTACCGTTCAGACTATCTTTTCGTTCAAAATATATGGTTGAAGTATTTAGGGATGGGCCAAACGGGAAGGGGGGATTAACATGGGGCATAGAGTGTACAAGTTATACTATTTTAGGCATTATATGTTCCAAATTTTTATTTGAACTCAATTTATGTCATATTTTACATATAAGTTAAGGCATTTTATATACTATATATTTGATTAATTTTATTTGAACTCATAATTTACATAAGTTATATGTATATTATGTAAATGTATGTGTGCACGCACATACAGATGTGTCTGTACATAAAAACACAGACATAAAGTGCAGCAACAATGACCACAGTCACCACACCGTGAAGAGATATTGATTCAATGATGCAAATAAGTCATACAAATCATAAACCTTCATTTTAATATGTTATGTATAATCAAGTAATAAACAACATTAGAGATGAAATTATCCATCTAAAATTTACCTTTACTTCTTTGTAAAGTTTCTTCTCCCATTCGTATAGCTGGGCCAATGTAGATGAAAGGTAAAAAGCCTTCAGACTGGCCGCTGGGGCGCCGTCCCCAAAATAGGATTTTGACAATTTTGAATCTAGTCTTACTTGTGTGTACAAAGTTGAAGATGAAGGAACAATTGAGTGCAAAATCCTGGAAATGAGCCCTGCATATAATAAAAACGCTGCTTTAAAAATAAACATGTAAGGCGAGATGTTTTATCCTAGTTATATAAAAGAAAAAGGTAAGGTATCCCCCCATTTTTTAGTTTAAATATACAAATTTATCACATCTTACAAGATATTCCTCTTATAAAAATGTAGGCAATTCAAAGGACTTGGTTATGTACATAAAAGTGATCAAACAAAGGAAAACTCTTAAAGTCTTAAGAACTGGAAACTTAATAAGTGAGAAAAATGATTAGAAGAGCCATAAAGTTCCATGAGGAGCATTCTTGATCCGTAACTCTCAAATTTTTGGATTCCCAACTCCGGTCAATATATCTTCTTTATCCTCCATTATGCACCTCATTCTCTCTGTAACTAATATATGGTCCTTTCACAGTTCCACTTGCCTTTCCCCACCAAGAAACAAAAAACATGAAGCAATGGGAAAAAATAAGTATATAACTTATGGTGATATGATGATTGGTGATGAGCTTACACAATAAATGCATGGAACTGAATGATTGGAAGAGCAATGTGAGCAGAGGGAACACAATGGCTCATATAGTTCTAACTACATCTCAACTATTTTCATAAGTGGATTCAGTGTTTTCTTGAATTTGAAACTAAAGCACAAACGATAGCCCCAAACTCTTATGCACGAGGGTCATGCTTGAGCTTGTGGATGGGATGGATGTTCCAAAAAGAAACACTTCTTTTAAGGACTTAAAGTAGTTTGAGACAGGTGTTTTCTTTCCGGAGGCACATCCCGAGTAAAAAGAAACTATTTTGAAATACTAGATATCTTTAAGAAGATGCACGCAACGGAACATAAAGAAATTCATCCATAAATCGGAATGCAGCAAGAATTCATAGTAATGCAGAGACACGTATACGATCCCAAACAAAACCCTCAATATGATGAATGTTTCGGGAGCGATCATAATTCCTTTTAACAAGATACCAAACCTTGAATGAATGTAGGGTGGTAAGGCAGCTTTCCAACCTCAAGCATCGCAGCTACCTCTCTCCCAAAACTTGATGCAATCTCAAATTCGTCTCTGATTTCAGCAACAACCTCTCGAAGATCTCTAGTTCCACGTGCAGGTGTATTATTCAAACTACTTAACTTTGAAGATACAAAGTCGTGATCTACATCAAATGTCACTCCTTTTGTCTTCATGTTACTATCTTCAGGGCTCTTTGATGCAATGGTGTCAGAGCTGGCCTTCCCCTCCCATACATCAACTGAGCCTACATCACAGATAGAGCACCCACCATTTTCAGATGGTGAGCCTTCCAAAATTGGAGTACCCACACCGGGTTTAGTGGGTTTTGTAGCAAAGTAGTCTTCAGTGTACTCAGTTGATTTTCTGCGGGCTATGCTTTTCTGTGATTGCTCTACACCAGCAACACCCTTTTGCAATGGCACTTCACTGGAACCCAAAGACCCCTTTCCTGCCCTCTTTTTCTTAAATTCATTATTCATCTTCTTCACCTTAGGTTCATCCCTGAAAATTTCGGTTTCTGTTTCATCCTCCAAATCAGGAATCCCCTCCCTCTTCCTCACTTCATCCGAATCGGGACTGCTACTAGTAGATCCATACACATGGCTTCCATGAGGCACGTAACTCGAGTACCCCTGGTCAATTCCATCAAACGGATTCAAAAAGTCCCAAACAGATGCATTTGAGGAAGGAGGAGGTGGAGTCTCCTCTGGAGGTGTGGGCTTCATAGTCTGAACCCTCCTACTCTCACCGTCATATGGCCCTGATGGTGGGTATCCAAAAGAGACGGGCCCATTCTGATAAGAGGAGCTCCAGTACTCATTCGAATATCCAGTGGACGAAGCAGCTTCTGCATCATGAATTACTGTCTTCGTCCCTGTGGTATGTCTCTTCATGTAAAATGCATATGTATTCGAATTTCCACCATAAGAGGGCCGAAACTGCCCATTGAAGGGGGCATTGAAGCTATAGAAAGGGTCCCAGAATCCCATTTGTGGAGGGGCCTCTTGATCCATCATTCCGTACGGTCCCTGAGTCCCCATGGGCAAATCTGGATGCCTGAAAGGGGAAGACGGAGACAAATGCCCTTCATCTTCATTTATGTGCAAATGGCCGCTACTTTGACTAGTTTTGTGCAAATGCAAATGCTCCTCGTCGTCAGACGTATCGGACGACAAACAAAAATGCGATTCCTTTCCGCAGCCATCACAGTCACAGTGACTAGGGCTCATGTTACCAGATAACTCTCTTGGTTTCTTACCTTTTCTTTTTTTAGCCGTGTCATCACCATCCCCATCAGCGCCGAGCTTACGCTCATGGGAATGAAGAATCAATGAGGGGGAGGAGAGTGAAGACGGAGACGAAGAAGAGGCGGCGGCAAGCTCCTCGTCGACGAAGCGGCGGAGGGCGTCACCAACGTCCTTGAGGGAGTGGAAGTACGAGACGTGTGCGGCGGAGAGGTCGTAGCGGTAGTCTGCGGCGGCCTTGATAAGATCTCTACGCTCTCGGCAACGGATTACCAGTTCCGTATCAACCGCCTTTGACCCGTTGCAACCCATCCAAAACACTACTACTCCCTACCTAGTAATAGCTGAACAAGCAACAACGGTAAACAGCCAAACACGGCCTTAAAAACGGAGAAATTCATGGTCACTGACGAACTGTAGCCATGCCCATTGCAGATCTATTTATTCAACTCAAACATACGGCGGCTCCACCGCCTTGTTCATCTCATCCTTTCTCTCCCTGCACGAGTTAATTGCTTTTGCCGCATTGTCGTATGAAAAGCTGCGCCTCCCGAAAGAAAACATACGTAGTATATCCGTAATTTCGTATAAGCAAAAATTGGTTGAACTAACTCCTTTCAAATAAATACTCCCTACTTCCGACTTCCAACTTTGTCCAATACCCTTATTTTATCAAAGAAAAGGGAAAATAAGTTTAAATAATAATTCATCTGTATTTTTATTTTCGCTACATTACATTTGACACATTATTTAAAAAGTAAAATAGTAGGGGTAATGAATAGGGTAGAGAGCACGTAAAAGTATAAAAGAAAAGATAAAAGGTAGAAAAAGTAAGAGTAGTTGAATATTTTATAAAAGGTAAACTTACCAAAAATGGAAGTGTACCAAACTTTTAAACACATCCCAAAAAGGAAATTGTAGTAAATATAAAAATACAGAGGGAGTATAAATTATCTTTTAATAATTAATAATATCTATTATTTAAATATAGACCAAAAAGTGACTTCAAAAAATATATATAGACCAAAAAGTGATATAGAGCATTTTTTTACAAAAATTTTAGACATTTAACTCACCAAAAACTTGTATCAAAATATCTAATAAGTAAATGTATTCTCAAATGTCATCTATTTGATGGGTTGCCATTTGTTTTTTATGTCTTAAATGACCGGATTTCTTATCAAAAAATGACTCCATATTATTTTTGTTTTGCATTCAAATAGTTTTTATTATTAAAAATTATTTTCAAAGTATGTATTATTATTGGTTTATGGATGACAATTGGAATTATTTAAAGTTATTTTTCAAATGAAAATAAAATTAAGGACTATTACGGTATTAGTGTATTACCAAAAAAATAATGATTTTCTATTCGAAACAAATGCATTGATTTGTAGATCTGCTTTTTTATATTATAAATGACTTATAAGCAGTATTAGAGACCGTTTGTTGATCCTATTTTTTGACTTATGAGATTTATTAGCCAACTTTTTCTTCAAACACTTAACTGTTGATTTTGCGCGCTTAGTTATGTAATAATAAGAAAAAGTAAGGTTGGAGTTACTTTGTTGGCTGAAATTATTGTAGAAGATCATTTTAGCTGTTTTTCATATAATTTTTTCTTTATTTTGTTATTGAAATATATTTTAATATTTTTTTCATGAATCAACATAATTAGTCAATTCAGCCGATTTGGATATTACCAAATGGCCTTAATATAAAAGGAACCTAACAAAATAGTGTAAGAGTATGTTTTGCACAACTCACGAAAAGTTTTTTGCAAGTGTTTTAGCAAGCGTTAGCTTTTAATGACAAAAATTCTTAAACGAGAGAAAGAGTGGGTGTTTGATAACAAAATGACTGATTAGTTTGGTTATGATTAGTATAGAAGCTGTCGTAACTTGGCAATGCTGAAAGCTACAAACCTTTATGACATACTACTGAGTGCGTGTTTGGTATGAATAAATTCACACCTTCTACCTATAGTACTATTTAAAAAGTCTCTAAAAAATCCTAGTTAAACATTTGGTATGACAATTCCTAAAAGCTTTTTTCAAATTAAAAGATATTTTTTGAGAAGCTACGTACTACAATAGTCACATCTTGTCATATGAAACAGAACTAAATGAAAAAGTTTTGAAGCTCATCCCCTAGGAGTGCCGCCAAGGATCAACACCGCGCCTGTTGGGATTAGGGCTGTTAACGAGCCGAACCGAGCCCGAACATCCAAAGCTCTAGTTCGGCTCGATAAGGAATTAGTGGTATTCGGATTCGAGCTTGAAGCTCAACGAGCTTTACAAATGAGGCTCGTGTTCGGCTCGATAGGTGTTCGATGTTCGAATCGAGCGCTCGATAAGCTCAATAAATATGCTCGAATTTAAAATTTTAGGTGATGCCCGTTAATAGGCTCGTGCTCGAATGATTCAACAAGTATTTAGTTCGTTACCAATCATATTTAAATTCATAAAATCATACTAATTATATTTAAATTTTAATATATATAAATCATATATATAATTTTAGGTATTCGATAGGCTCGAGTTCGAACCGAGCCGAATACTACTATGTTCGAGCTCGGTTTGATGAAGTTTTCGAACTTAAAACTCAGCTCGGGTTCGAGTTCGAAAGCTCGTTAAGCTCGGCTCGTTAGGTTCGAAACCGAGCTCAAACTCGAATAGTTCGATAAAAGCTCGTTTCGTTAACAGTCCTAGTTGTGATAATGGGCCGGGTCCAAGACTATCGGCCCATTACATCGAAGCTTTGGCCCGACCAAATTCACAACACAGTCCGGCTAACGAATATTGGTCCGAGATTATTTAATTACTCATCGGGCTGACTGCCCCATTAGCGTCATTATTAGATGATAAATCAGCCCAAGCCCATGTGGCACTTAATTGGTGGACATGTTGTATACGCCTATAAATAGGTGTAAGGAATAATTGTAATTAGATTTTGGTGATTATATATTAATTAGGATTTTAGAGTATCTCCCCTCTAAATTTATTGTATTAGAATTTTTTCCTTGTAAAGTTCTTAGAATAGTCGACTGACAGAATACCTCCTGACAGAAGACCATTGGCCCTCTGCTGTCCTTTATCCAGACAGAAGACCTTAGGGTCTCTGCTAGTTTTTACTCAGACAGAAACCCGCTGGCTCTCTGTTGGACCTCACTTCAACAGAAACTGTCAAGACTCTCTGTTGGTTCGCTCCTTAACAGAAGACCTAAGGATCCTCTGATAGCTTATCTCAACAGAAGTGCTCAAGACCTTCTCTGGGAGACTCTCTGCTGAAGACACCAGAAGGCCCGACACTTAGAGAATTTTCATGAAACTACTTCAACCGGTGAAACCAACGGAAGATTCCTTCAACGGCTAGAAGACTTCAACGGAAAAGCTACAGTACGCACATTAAATGCACATTTAATGCTCCCCATACGCTAAAGAGTAAATGCAGATGATTGGCCGCAATGTCAGGATTACTTTATCCCAAAATAGCAACTCGGCAATTTTACCGGGTCCTACTGGTCAAGTCAACTGTTCGCGCATTTAATGTAGTTGTCCTCCTCCTCCAACGGGAAGACAACCCTAGTATAAAAGATACTACTCGAAGAACAACTTTGTAACTTTACTGAAATCTTGGAAAACTCGTGCTAGAACAAAATATTCAAACACTCAAACACACAAGCCTTCTTGAGATCAAAAATATCATCTTCATCCACAAGAAAGGCGTACGCTGGAAAGATAACATTTTCTTTATCTTCATATCCCAACAAGAGCAAAGTTCCAACTGTTCTTCAACACTTCAAGCACTTCAACAACAAATCTCTTGTAACGAAGCTAGTTGGAAAACCCATGTTCTCACAAGAACTCTTCTCTAACGAGAAGGACGTCCAAGTAACTGCAGTAATGAATTGGTGATACTTCAAGGAAGCTTAGTGAAAGGACCAGTCTTAAAGGAAGCAAGGAAGTGCATCCCAGGAGACATCTAGACTTGAAGAAGACGTGGAGAGCTTCTTAAGTGCTAGTACTAAGGCTGTGTAATTGGATTTTTTACAAGCTTAGTGGAACAGTGGATTAGAGGAACGAGTCGTTCCTTAAACCACTATAAAAATCCCTGGTGTCTTTTACTTACTGCTTTTATTTCTTGTGTTTACCTTTAACTGATTAACCCCAGAATTTGGGACTATGTGTTCAGCAGAACCCTTCCTGTGAGTTAACAGAAGGCCTACTGCCTTTGCATCTCTTATAGGCTAACCGGACAGAACCCCTACCAGAAGACCATCCGCTACTAGTATGTTCAGCCAACAGAATAGACTATTATGTTAAATCTGGTACTTAGCTTGAAAAAGTTAAAAACCAATACAGTCTATCACCCTCCCCCTCCCCCCCCCCCCCCCCCCTCTAGAATGTACCCAATGTGACCGGGACCAACAAGTGGTATCAGAGCCTCCTTGTTCTCGTAACCTTTTAGGTTACCTGTTGAACAAAGATCCATTTGTTTTCATTTTTGCCTCTGTTTTTATCTCATATTATGGATCACTCTCTTTCCAAGAACCTTATGTTTTGAGATCTTAAATTTGATGATTGGAGGATCCGGACGAAGGCGCATCTCTGTGCACTTCATGATGAGATGTGGGAAGTACTTGACATAGGATCATTCACCAACTTGCAGAAGGTGAATTCTGAGCATGCTATTGACAACACAAAGCCTCAGATGATCAACAAAGCTAAATCTGAATGGACCTCTGAAGAGAGGAAAAAGTACAATCTGGACAACATTGCAAAGGACATCCTCTACAAGTTCATTGATGACAAATACTTCAACAGAATAAAGAAGTGCAAATATATCCTGTTAGTACAAATATATGTTGATGATATTATATCTGGAAGTACTAATGTAGAATTATGCAAGAAATTTTCTCAAGTTATGCAGAGTCAATTTGAAATGAGTATGATGGGAGAACTGAGCTACTTCCTAGGACTGCAAGTAAAACAAGTTCCTGAAGTAATTTTTATCAACCAAGGGAAGTACACCATAGACCTGATCAAGAAGTTTGGAGTAGAAGGAAAATCTTCAGTGAAGATTCCCATGAACACTTCTCAAGGAATTGGACCAGTTGATGAAGGAAAAAATGTTGATCCAACAACTTATAGATGAATCATTGGATCTCTTCTATATCTAACTGCAAGCAGACCAGACATATCATTTTCTGTTGGAATCTGTGCCAGATACCAATCAAAGCCCAAGGAGAGCCATCTAAGTGCTGTAAAAAGAATCATCAGATATATTAAGGAATATCCAAATGCAGGCCTACGGTACCCCAAGGGAGGTAACTTTGAACTAATTGGTTATTCTGACTCAGATTTTGCAGGTTGCAGGTTAGACAGAAAGAGCACCTCTAGTCACTGCCAATTGCTAGGTGGGAGACTTGTCTCCTGGTTTAGCAAGAAGCAAAACTCTATTTCAACCAGTACAACAGAAGCTGGATATATTGCAGCTGGAAGTTGTTGTGCTCAACTACTCTGGATGGAACAACAACTGAAGGATTATGAGATTCAAACAAAGGAGATCAAGCTTCTC